AGAAGAATATAAGGCGACAAATGTAATAATTTTAAGCCAACGTCGCGCGTGTTTAAGTGCCTGGCCGACCGGAAAGCAGGAGCATTCGAGACAGCGCTTGGTTTTTTATGTTTTTACTTTTTCTTCCTCGGAAATGCTCCAATTACACCATTTTGAGAAAGGAGCTATCAATTTCACCCTACTTTAAGAGTGAAACACAAGATTAAATATATGTATATATATTAAAGCTATTATTCATATGACAATTTTCAACATGAGTTCATTTAATAACAAATCTAAATATCTTACGTTTATTTAAGTAAACAAAGTAAATTTGTTCAACTTATATTGCAAAATTATTTAATATTCTAGTTATTTTATTGCGAATATTTCTCTATATGATGTTTTAAACATTTCAGAAACAAATTTTACAAAAAAGTATGCTATACTATTAAAGGCTTTATTATTAAAGCTCTCAAAATTTTAATTTTATTTGGATCAGCTCAAGTAAATTAATCTTCTGTAACGATCTAAAAAAATTTTTTTAAAAAATTGTTTTTTTTGAGTAAGATTAAAAAAATAAATTGAAAATTTTATTCATTTAAATCTGATACAAAATATGTTTAAGTATTTAAATCTTAAAATTCCAAGAGTCTTGACAAAGGGCATGTTCTTTTGCCCAGCAACCCGTTTAAGACCAACCTGTACGACCTTCAACCCCTTCATATATATACATACATATATGCAGGTTGGGTCAATGCCAATTTTATAACCCCAAAAAATACTAATTACCCTCAATCGGGCCACACACATACACACCAACAACAACCACTAACCAGTACGGACCTGTTGAGCTAGCCACAAGTTTTAGGGGGTTGTCTATACTATATATGAGGGTACACCTGCGATTAGGTCGGGAAATCTATGCCAACAAACACCACCTAGAATAGAGAACCACCCAGAGACAGTCAAAACAAACAATACAATATATACATATATATAGACAAAGAGAGAGCGGGGGTATGTTTATGTTATGCTTTATGAATGGGAGCGCGACTCTAACTACCACCAAGTCGCACTTTGTTTTGGTTTCTGTTGTTTTCTTTTTTTTTTTTTTTTTTTTTTTTTTTTGGGAAAACTCCTAAAAGTGACGAAGACGTTGTGTGGATGAGGCTGATGACATGCCGGCACATGCCAATGAACTGCAAGGTGGGAAATACGCTGCTCTTGACAGTGGTGGTGGYGGTGTCGGCGGTGGTGGTTCGGTTAAGCACATGACCAAGAGCGGAACACAGCAGAGCACATGGYTTTTCCGTGGTGGTCGGTCGGTCGGTGCCTTATATTTGACTTGGTGGTTGCTGCCGGCTTACTCCCTGATGGTTGGGCTGATTGGGGGCTTTTTGTACCCGGTGTCAAACGTCCTTGCACCTACAAAGGCCGTGGACGCCTTACACCGTCTGCAATGTGCGTTGTTGTTGTGAGCGGAACCACCCCATGCGCCATGTGGCCCAGAGCCAGTGCGCCAAAGTAGGTCGTGGACATGGTCGCATTGCCGGTGGTTGCTCTGCCGTTAACTCTACACACTGCACGGCAAAGCAGAACTCAGCTCAGCTCAGCTCTGCTCTGCTGGGTTCAGTGGTGGTTCCAAAAATATATCTATATACATATATGTGTGTTGGCCCAGACTTGTCTAAGGGTTACATTTTGTTTATAAACATTGCACAAAACAGCTGATTTTTGGCAACATCCCCCAACAAGCGTCGTGGTATGCGTGTAGGGTCGGTCACGACCAGAGCCAACCGGGCCAACACTCTGACCAGCTGACGAGCCCGGCAGAGGCTCGACTCAGTATGGCCAACTCGTGCAGGCCAACCAACACCTGCACTTCAAGTGCTTAGTCCAGACCTCAGAGGCAACAGCAGCAGCAGCTGCTTGACCCGAACCAAGCCTGGCGGACTGAATGACTGCGTTACCATCTGTCGCCACGCAAAGGTACGAAGGATAATAAATGCTTTGAACGCCGGCTGCAACCAACTACCTCTGCCTCTCCTCTGCCTCTGACTGACTGCCTGCTTAGGGCAGCTGCCCGCTGTTGCATTGATTGCGACTACAGACAACATCTGTTTTCAAATGGGAGTTCCCCTAAAAACTAGATACGACAACTGCAACTGCAACTGCGGCTACGACTGCGACTGCAACTGCTCCTGCAACTGCTATGGCATGCGCCATGACCCAAAGCAGAGGACTGCCCTACACAATGCACAATGCAGAAGGCAGCATCTGCAGCAATTGCTGATGCGTTTCCATCTACAGTTGATATTTCAACTTGGCAGCTGATGGACGTCGCTCGATTGATTAGCTGCGGTTGCTGCTCAGAATACACACATGTGTCTGTGTGTGTGAGAGAGTGTGTGTGTCTGCATTGAAATAGTTGAGCGATTTCTGAGCACTGTCACAATCTAGCTTCAATTGATTAATTGTAATCATTTACGTAGTTGCATTAATAATAATTCGGCGGGCAGATGCATAGTGACATAAGTTCTACATGTTTTAGCTTCAACTAAATTTAATTGAATTTGGTAATGAAAGAAAAATAAATAAAGAAATAAATAAATCAAGACAAATTTGAGCTTTAAATTCGATATCACAGTTTTCTTTTTCCCAGACTCAAACCATACGAAGTTAATAATAGGCAGCTCGATTGCAATAAACAATTTATTAACTTTTTATAAAGCTGTAATAACAGCAAATGATTAACAATAAACAAACACACAACACACATTTTGATCTAATACTGTATTGAACGGGGAATAACGAGGAACAGGCTATCGAACAGAACAGACTATCCAATTTTGTAAAGATATAAAACTTGTTTTTCACATTAACAGCAGTTATGCATACTCGATTCCTTATAATCGCAGCTGCTTGACTTTGAATATTTATTTGGATTTGGGTGTCCAGAAAGTACAAATGGATTCGAAGCGTAACGTTTCCACCAACAAAATTGTATATGCTGGTTAGGCAACATTAGCAGCTGTCCGAGCTGCATCACCTGCATGTGCCCCCCAGTAAAAAGGAGCTCGCTTTTCAGTTCCACCAGCCAGTCAGCCAGGCAGTCAGGCAGCCAGCATATGGATATCAGAGATAACAAGGTACAGCAATGTTTGAAAACCAGATACGTTCCAGACGCAGCTTTTCGAGCAACTGTAATTCAATACGTGCACAGGGGCACGATCGCCCCAATTGAGCAAGGAATAGGACCCAAACAAAAAATTTAAAAATATGGAAGGAAAAAGTTTCGAATTGCATTCCCAACTTGTTTTCGGAAAAACCGGTAGCTCACACACAGGGTGAGCGATAGAGGGGGAGAGAGGGGGAAAAGAGGTTACCGGGCGTGGCCAGGACAAGGTATTCAAATCGATACGATCGATCTACAGAGATTACATACAAGTTGTCTGGCAAAAAATAAAAGAAAAGGGAAGAAAAGAAAAAAGATAACAGTTACAACATTTAAGATTTCCGTTTAGGAAGTGCAAAATGGAAGAAGAGACAGCAAAAGAATAAAAGACAAGGAGCGAACAGAGCTGAAGGCAGAGAGAATAAAAATCACGCACATCCGAGCGACAAATCCTGTCGCAGCTGCGCATGTGCATCCTGTGAAATGTTTGCGCAGGCGTACAATGAACTTTGCTTGGGTGTCCTGTTCCCGGCCCCTCTTTCTGCTTCTTTCTCTCTTTCTTTCCACTCTACTCTCTACTCGCTGTGTGCTGYCCTGTCTGCAGGTAGGCCACAGACACAGACATCTTGAGGACCCGAACTCGAACTCGAACTCTGGCTCAAGCTGCGAGAAGCAGATGTTTCTCTGGCGCTGTCTTTGTCGCAGGTCAGTTGTCGTCTGGGCTAGCCTGGACGTGGGCCTTTGTTTCATTATCCTGCGTCGTTGCCCTGCCTCGCTGCTTAAGGGTTGTCTACGCATGTCAATTACTTTTTGCTGCTTTTCAAACATTTGTTTGACGCTTTGTTTACACCGCGAGCCGAGGCGCGCTTGTTTGATTAGAAGAAGTCATTAACACCGCGATAGCTGAGCAGCTGTCGCCTTCAACTTCGGGGCGTGGCCAAACCAAATATCACTAATAATAAAAGACTACAAACGGTTTTAGATTAAGGAAACGTTTAAAAGCTGTCTTAATTATATGCCAAAACAAAATCAAGTTCTGTAGATGGAAAAGTATTTAGTAATTACTCGTTAGTTCTAATGCTCTAACCAACTATCTCTATCACTGTAATGGTTTTCCATTACCTTAATAATTGATCTTACAATCTTAAATTTGACTTTTGTTTGCCTTTCTTTGCAAATAAATAATTAAGATCTAAAGTTCTTTTGACAAATATGTACTATATACATAAAGCAATAATATGAATTATCTAGTAAAATAAAATAATCAAAATAAAAGTTAATTGCCAAGTTACATAATTTAACTGTAAGTATAGATTACCGGTTTTTATAATCAATAGAGTAATATAATAAACATTTCTGAGAATAATAGCAGAATTTTTTAAATTTTAAATACACAAAAATTACTATATAATGGCCAAGCTATCGTCATCTGCAGAAACATAAAATTACTTTGTTCAAAATTTATAAATTTTTGATATGTTCCACAACATTCAAAATTTGAAGGCAATGATAATATGTATTATCGCAGACCGACAGACGTTCAGATTTTGCATAACTAATACTCGATCTTTGTGCAAGCAATTCATATTTATCTTAAGTTGCCAAAATATAGAATAAACTAAAAATCAAAGCCGCAGCTCAAATTACGCATTGACCGGCTACAAAAAAAATATACGAAACCCAAAAGATAAAGGCGAAGGAAAGAGTGCGCCGCAAAGAGAGCTGTCAATTAGGCTCGACAATGCGGCTCGCTGCACGGCACAAAGGTAACTTGAAAAATCAATTTTGTGCGAAACTTGACTGAATTGCACCTCATTTATAAAGCAAATTAAGAGTAACTTACCTTTAATTAAGAAGTCGCTGCACTTTTTTCTTACATGCTGCTCGGCTCGTATGTTGTTATCGATAAAAAAAAATTCTTTCTACAAATTCGCAATAGTTTGGGGCTCAGAACACAAACCCAACAACAAACGGCGTACGTGACCGAGTTCACAATAGACGTGTATATTCGGTTTATTTACAATAGATCAGCTCGCACTGCTGGACATGCCTGAGTGTGGGTGTCAACACGTGTGTGAGTGTGTGCTAGGCTGTCTCCGTTTCTGTTTACTGTGTTATCACTGTCTTCATAAAAATACCACTATATTTGTTTTTGTGGTTTCCAATCAGTATCTATATACAACTGCACTACTCAATTGAAGGGACGCGTTTGTCTGTAGTGTCGCTGTCCATTCGCATTTCTTCGGTATACTCTGCAAACAACATTTGTCATTTAGTTTTACACACATATAACTTTTCAGATTATGTAGTCACACACTTCACAATGGACTGTTACAAAATACATAGAAACTGCAAAATTTTTGCTAAATTTAACAAAACACATTGAAAGAACTAGAGCTGCACCACATACGATAAAACGATTTAAACATCGATTGTACTTTGAGTACTTTGAGTGCTATATATCGATATTATACGGCAAAATAACTGGCTGTGCTGGTCACACCTTTTGCACACGTTTTCATCTGTGAGTGCGATTTGCATGAGGAGCTGAAAAAGTGAGTTTACCTTTATTAATATGTCCATTGCATCAGCAAAAACTATAACAGCATCACATTATTTCGCATTACAACAGCTTAGCTATAAACACGAATACGCAGCATGCCGGAACAGGAACAGCTAAACAGCACCGATTCGCCAGCCGGTGATGGTGGCCCACCAAAGACGGCCAAACAATTGGAAAAGGAGGCAAAGAAAGCTGAGAAACTGGCTAAATTACAGGCCAAGTTGGATAAAAAGGCTTCAGCAGCACCAGCGGCAGGAGAAAAGAAGGAAAAAGCCGAGGTAAGTGTCTGTGCCACGAATTGTCATAGGTTATGCCGATTCGAGTTGTACTTGCAACAGAGAAGTGCGCGTAGGGTATTTCGACACTCGAATGACTCATGCACGGATGTGCAAATCCTTCAACTCATTTCGATTTCAACTCCATTAATAGTAATTGTGTAAATCGTAAATATTGCAGAAAAGTGAAAGGTAATTACGCTGCTATTGTTATGCCCTGTATACAAAAATCTGAAAATGAGTATGCTAAATTTGTGAGAGGGTGCGTAAGTGTTAATAGTAAAAGTATCGTAAAAAATATCATATTTTAAATTAAAATAACACATTGAAAGAAAACGGTTGGGCAATTTGTCTATATATTATTTCGGAAAAAAACTATTTTCATATGGTATGACAATTTGTATTATATGTTGCAACAAGTATTTAGGTCAGGTATTGCAAATGTAAATAACGGAGCAAACAACATGTAAGATATACGATTCTCCTGGAGTTACAGGGTATTTTTAGGCTCACCTTCCATATTTCATATGTGCTGTTATTTAGCTTGGCTCAGTGAAAGTTACAATCACGCTTTTGTTGTTACAGAAACGCACCAAAGAAGTCAAAGAATCAGCAGTTTATACGGCCAGCACAGCTCCTGGCGAAAAGAAGGATATCAGCGGAGCACTTCCCGATGCATATAGTCCACGCTATGTGGAGGCCCAGTGGTACAGCTGGTGGGAGAAGCAGGGGTTCTTCACACCCGAATATGGCGTAAGTGTAAAAATATATTCTTTTTAAAGTAATTTCTAATTAGCTTTCCTTCAGCGCGATTCTATTGATGCACCTAATCCGAATGGGAAATTCATCATGGTCATACCGCCTCCGAATGTTACGGGCTCCCTTCATTTGGGTCATGCCTTGACCAATGCCATTGAGGATGCCATCACGCGCTATCACCGCATGAAGGGACGAACGACACTGTGGGTGCCGGGCTGTGACCATGCGGGCATAGCCACGCAGGTGGTCGTTGAGAAGCTACTTTGGCGGGAAGAAGGCTTGTCACGGCACGATCTGGGGCGTGAAAAATTCATTGAGCGCATATGGGACTGGAGACGTGAGAAGGGCGGTCGCATCTATGATCAACTGAAGGCTTTGGGTTCCTCCTACGATTGGACTCGCGTAAACTTTACCATGGACCCGAAGCTGTGTCGCGCCGTTACGGAGGCTTTTGTGCGTCTGCACGAACAGGGAGCCGTTTATCGTAGCTCCCGCTTGGTGAACTGGTCGTGCTCACTGCGCTCCGCCATCTCAGATATTGAAGTGGACAAAGTGGAGCTGCCCGGCCGTACATTCCTAAGTATCCCGGGCTACGACGAGAAGGTAGAGTTCGGCGTGCTCATCAAGTTCGCCTACAAGGTGGAGGGCAGCGACGAGGAGATCATTGTTGCCACCACTCGCATCGAGACCATGCTGGGTGATACGGCTGTTGCAGTGCATCCACAGGACGAACGCTACAAGCATTTGATTGGCAAGCATGTGGTGCATCCGTTCTGCGATCGCCGCCTGCCCATTGTCAGCGATGAGTTTGTGGACATGAGCTTTGGCACGGGCGCCGTTAAGATAACTCCCGCCCACGACCCCAATGACTACGAGGTGGGCAAACGCTGCAATCTGCCCTTCATTACCATATTCAATGATGACGGCTTTATCATTGGCGACTATGGCGAGTTCACGGGACTTAAGCGTTTCGATTGCCGAAAACGGCTGCTGGAAAAGCTTAAGCAATTGGGACTCTACCGCGAAACACTGAATAATGCCATGGTTGTGCCCATTTGCAGTCGTTCCAAGGATGTGGTGGAGCCACTCATCAAGCCGCAATGGTATGTCAGCTGTGCGGATATGGCTGCCGCTGCTACGGAATCAGTGCGGTCTGGTGAGCTAAAGATTTTGCCGGAGCATCACACCAAGACCTGGTATCATTGGATGGATGGCATACGGGACTGGTGTGTTTCGCGGCAGCTGTGGTGGGGTCATCGCATACCCGCCTACCATGTGAGCTTTAATGATGCCAGTATTAAAGCCAACACGGTGAGCATTAAACTTATTTTATTCGCATCTCAAAATAAACATGTTCTCAATTTCTCTATACAGCCCGATGATGAACAGTATTGGATCGTGGCACGTAGTGAAGAGGAGGCCTTGAGCAAGGCGGCCACACGCTTTGGCGTGGATGCCAGCAAAATTGTGTTGCAGCAGGATGAGGATGTGCTGGACACCTGGTTCAGTTCCGGTCTGTTTCCGTTCTCCGTGTTCGGCTGGCCGGATAACACAGTTGATTTGCAGACGTTCTATCCCACGTCCCTATTGGAGACAGGACACGACATTCTTTTCTTCTGGGTGGCGCGCATGGTCTTCTTCGGCCAGAAATTGATGGGAAAGTTGCCCTTCAAGGAGGTATATTTGCATCCAATGGTGCGTGATGCTCACGGACGCAAAATGTCCAAATCGCTGGGCAATGTTATCGATCCCATGGATGTGATTCATGGTATTTCATTGGAGGGCCTGCACAAGCAACTCATTGGCTCCAACTTGGATCCGCGTGAGATTGAGAAAGCCAAACTGGGTCAGAAACAGGACTATCCACAGGGTATACCCGAGTGCGGTTCGGATGCACTGCGCTTTGCGCTGTGTGCCTACATCACGCAAGCTCGTGATATTAATCTGGATATTAATCGCGTGCAGGGCTATCGATTCTTCTGCAACAAGCTTTGGAATGCCACGAAATTCGCCCTTCTTTACTTCACCGGCGATGAGCTCTACAACACCCAGGTGACAGTCTCAAATCAATCGAATCAAATGGACACCTGGATTCTGTCCCGATTGGCGGCCACTATTGAGGCATGCAATGCTGGATTTGATTCCTACGATTTCGCGGCCGTAACCAGTGCCTGCTATGCGTTCTGGCTGTACGATGTGTGTGATGTGTATTTGGAGTGCCTGAAGCCCATCTTCCAGAGCGGTAATGCCGAGCAGCAGGCTGCAGCTAGGCGCACATTATATGTGTGCCTGGACTATGGCTTACGTCTGCTCTCGCCTTTCATGCCCTTCATTACCGAGGAGCTGTTTCAGCGTCTGCCACGGGCAGACAGCACGCCCAGCATTTGCGTAGCCAGTTATCCAAGTGAGAAAGAGCCATGCATAATCGACATAATCGAATTATATTTAATGACCTTTAATTTCCACAGCGAATACCAGCTGGCGCAACCCTCAGGTCGAATCGGATGTGGAATTCGTACAGAAGGCAGCGCGTGTGATACGCTCCGCTCGATCCGACTACAATTTGCCCAACAAGACCAAGACGGAAGCCTATATCGTGTGCACAGATCCAGCGCCCAATGCGATACTCAAGCGTTATGCCAGCGACTTGGCCACTATTGCGTACTGCTCCACTGTCGCATTCGATACTGCACCGCCCGCTGGCTGCGCCATACTCACCATCTCGGGACAGTGTGAAGTGCATTTACTGCTCAAGGGCCTGATCGAGGCGGACAAGGAGATTGCCAAGCTGCAGAAGAAACGCGATCAACTGGAACAGACCGTCAGCAAACTCAGCCAAGCGATTCAGGCCTCCGACTACGCCACCAAGGTACCTGCCGAGGTGCAAGCGGCCAATGATACGAAGCTAACCGAATCCCGTACTGAAATCGAACGCATTGCTGCTGCCATCGAGACGCTAAAGCTAATGTGAATCAACTAATCCTTGGGTGCACAGTCTGAGCTGCATTTTTGTTGATATTCTAATAGACGCTTGACTATACTCGCTTAAAAAATAGAAACCAACAGGAAAAACTGCAATGAATTTCTGATTCTTTAAACCTTTTTATTAGCTAAAATTTATAAAATATGTGCTAATTTATTAAATGCAAGACATGATTTTTAAAAGAGAAAAACTGAAATTTGATTATTTTGCTATTTGTAATACAAAGGTCAGTTAACAATTTATTACATATTTTACCTTGTCACAATTAGACAAATTATCCAGGTCCAAGTTAGGCTAAGGACCAACGAATCCATGGGGTATATGCTCATTAGCGTTGTTTATGAATACTCGACATACATTAATTAAATAGATAATTGATTAGATTCTCTATAGAAGTGGAGGTTCAATAGGGTACATATATATAGCTGCAGCGAATGTGAATTCCAAGAAGTCTTGGATAGAGCACTCTTACATCTTATACTGCTTCAAGAAGTGAAATGAGTTTTGTGCAGCTGTCCGTCCATCTGTTTATTTATCCTTCTATCCTTACGAGTCTTGAAATTAGGAATATATTTATGTATACTCTTCTGTAAGGTCGTCTTCAATTTTTCGCCATCCGCCCAGTGGGGCGTGGCAAATCGGAAAATGCATTTGAATTGCTAAATGTTATGTCAGATCTGCTAGATAAGTAGATAAGTAGTTGAAAAATTTAATGTAAATATATTCGCGTTGACAAATCAAGAAGAATAGGAATGAATCATTATGCAATCATATCATCTGGGGTTATACAGTTAGAAACTTCGAGTTCAATGACTAAAGTACTGTTGATCTACTGTGAATGAGTATTCTGTAAGGTTATTACTTTTAAGGCACCTCTGTCAGCAATGCGAACAAGTTTCGTAAACTATTTAAAATCTATTCCTGGCTCTTTTATCGAGGTAGATTCTTTTTGGAACGAAATATATCTACGGAATAGTTTTCAGTACCTCAAGACCATGGCTCATTTTCAGCGCTCTATTTGAGGGCTGCATTGAGTCCTTAGCTAGACGCGAAGCTGTGTCAGATATAAACGAAAGAGTGTTCTCCGTTTATTCCAGCACTTCTTCAAGCGTCCATTGCCCAGCCGGCACCCGCGTGGAGGGTTCGGTCTGAGGATTTTTGCCAGCCAACCCATCTAACCCGTATTAGGATGATCAATTTCAATGAGTCTACAAAAGATTTATAAGCTTCAAGCAAATCTAGGGTATAATAAAATATTGAAGGATGTCAACCAAATTAAAGTCAGTAATTTTAAGAAAATAAAAATTTAAAAATATTTGTTTTTGTTTGTTTGTTTTTTTTTTTTTTTGGCAGAAGTGAAAGATGATGGAGATGTGTTTCGACTTAATAAAATTTTAGGTATACAAGTAAAAAAAAAATTTTTTTTTAAAATCGCAACTTCCATTTGAGTTAAAAGTATTAACTCACGGTACCGTAAATATACCTTATATATAGTATATGGTTTCTTAAATCTGATTAAAAGTGGAAAACTGATATTAGCCTAAGCAAGTTATATAGTAAAATAATATAATATCTAAAAAGTATTTAAATTAAAACGAGCCACACTAATCTATATATAATATCTATAATTAGGTATCAGGTTAAGTATTATATAAATTTACCCGGTGAGCATTCCATAGATCCAGATTGGAAGAGACATACCTCCGGGGCCTATTTGACATGCATGTTATCAAACTACCAGTTAAACTTCCAGTTAAAGTCGAGACTTACCTCAAGTGGTGCACCACCAATGCTGCCCATTGAGCTGGCCAACAGCAGCAGAAGAAATGCCACTTCCTTTTTCCCCAATGGAGCTAGTATATACATGGTAGTCGAAAGTTCAGTCCCTTTTGTATCTGGATATCTCAATGCAGCACAGCACAATCCACAGCGGGATGTAGAGAGAAACTGTGGCACTTTACCGGAATGTGGCACATTTTATACTATTTGCTTGGCTCCCAGAAACAGGGTGACCCACCCAATATGTGCGAACAGTTGGAACGAAGCAAACCGAAAGGAGAGTGGGAATACCCCATATAACAAAGTGGGCAGCGTTTTCCTTGATGCCGCACTTGCACCATATTTCAAATAATTTGTGGTAAATACTCCAGCAAACACAGAAGCAGAGTGCGTCTGGCTGAGATTTAAGCAAACATAAGCGCATTAGGGGCATATGTTCAATTTGATTACGTGTGCGGCGGCTGCGGCCGTATAGTGTGTGTGGCTGTATAGTATTGGTTAGGTTAGTGCTACTGTTTTCCAGTCTATTAATAGACAGTTTTGAGGTTAGTCGTCAGAGATAGCGCAGTTAACCCTAATTCAAATAATACGTTATTCTGTGACGTAGTTGATATCAATCCGGCGCAAATTATATCAAATGGACACAAAAGCCAAGGCTCCTTATGAAGCCCATGTCGACGTTTCAGTTATTTAAGGAACGATTTAAAATATGAGCATTTCTCCAGAAAGGTCAACCACCGCCAAAAATCCAAAGTAAACGAAACCATGTTCTGCTAACATATTTTTTATAACTAATATAAGCCAATTTTACATTTGCTCATAACACATCTCGAAGTATTGACACACCAAGCCGAACAAGTGCAAAGCTTCCGTTTTGAGTTTTTCTATTGCACATTTTGCTCTTGTTACTGTTCTGAAAGAGAGACACTATGCAAAGAAAAATCCAGTTCTTAGAACGAGCTAACGGTAGTATAACTGCAAAATTTTATTGCTTACGCTCCAAAAATGTGCAAATTACAGGGTATTTTTCGATATATATGACTTTTTGACCTAGTGTCTTGAGATCATGTCGAATATATGTATAATATATAAACAAAATAATATACTTACATATAAGCAAAAGTATTCTGTACTGACTTTAATACGCATTCATGTGTAAGACTTTCTGCGTAGAAAAAATCCTAGTAAAAAAAACTCTTAGTATTTTTTTATTTTTATACATATAACTGTTACTCTTACTTCAACATTACTGCCAAACAGGAAGAAAGATTGTTGCTCTTATAGCATTTTTACGCATTCCCTGAATTTATTGATCTTCCAAAAGTATAAGGAAACACGGATCCAGCTATACATGCTCCAAAAATAATACCGGAAGTCTTTCGTTTTGGTACTGACCTACATATGTATTATGAGGGTGCTCGCGGCAGTTATAGTTATGCTGCTTTACATTACGATCATAATTAGTCGGATTGAAAATTCCAACTTTAGAAGTTGTATGTGTGCACATGTGTAGATACATGCATAAATAATCATGGCTGCACATCAGTAAAAGACTATATCTAATTATGATTATATCATTTCTAACTAGTGAGTTTATTGAATTCTTTTTAATAAATTAAAATTTGAAATGTACTGTTTACAAAGCCAACGTAGAAACTATAGTTTGTATTGCCAAAATGCCAGCACTACCAGCGTGACTTTACTTGAATCTAAATTCACTTTTATCTATCTTATAGCCAGTAGACAAAATAAAAACGTGCTGTGCAGGTAATAAAATTCAATAAATAATAGCAGGCTCGAGCAGAGCTTTCATATGATCAATAAAAATACAATATTTTGTATATTTAATTTTTTATTTAATAATTTAAATCAATAAATAAACAAGACGTGTTTTATTTTGAGGAAAGCATACCAACCAGATCTCTAAATGAAAATCTGATTGATTTCGAATGTAAATGGCAATAAATAGATCTGATTAGGTAGGATATATGTGGTATAAGTATAAATTGCAGATATGGATATGGTATATTCTACCAGGTGAGACGTGTGGCGTGATCCGTCTTACGCTTTGACATTTTAATGTAGCCCAGAAATTGAAGTTCGGCCACAGCGCGAGTAAAGCGAGCTCTGAGCAAAGGAAGGCAAATCAATTTGTAAATATTTGGACATACTTCATATACTCATTTGATATACTCACTGAATCTGTGGATCGATCTGGTCCTGGGGCATTTCGTTCTCTTCTTGTTCTTCGCCAGTCCGCAGAACGGAACGGAACGCCTGCAGCCAGTCGAATAGATTAATCATGCGACCGCACTCCAAGTGCAGTTTGTAGACCACCGACAGGTCGGGCATGGTGCTGGTCAGCTGCGACTGTTCCTGCAGTTCGCAGCATTTGCATTGCATATAGAAATGAGGATTATTGAGGGCCGTATGCAGTGCTGCACGAGGAGCTCCAATGATATTACGACGAACAGTTGCAATATCACTGAAGACGTAGATTTCGTGGAGCGGCGGAGCCTGCTGTAGCGGACGCAGATGGGCAAGCACCAAATCCGTCTCAATGAGAGTCAAAATCTTATTGAGAGCGCGGCTGAACTCCGACGTGGATTGCTGTTTGTCCTGTTTGCTGCGCAGCAGCAGCTGCTCCTTCAGCTCCTGGCGGGAGGCTACCTGCGTGAGGTCGCTCAATGGAGCACCGTCTGTTAGCGAATCGGCTTCAATGGCGGCTGTTTGCAGCTCCATGGTTGCCAGCTCGACATCATTGAGCAACTGCTTGAGCGCTTGAAGCTTAGCGCGCATCAAGTCCGAGCACGCATCGCCCAGCTCTAGAGGAGCTATCTGCTTGCTGAGAAAGAGCTCAGTGCGCGCAATACACCTGCTTAATTTGGCCACGAATTCGGCTTTGGACATAAAGCTGAGCATCTGCCAGCATTCCTTGTACTCGGGCTGCTCGCTGATGGGTTTGTTTAAGCAGTTTACGTAGAGCTCTCGCCGTAGCCTGCCCAGCGGACAGCGTGGCAGATCGCCCACAAGTTCCGTGAAGAACTCCAAGCAGCAGCGGAAGAGCATGAAGTGCAGCAGGCAATCGCGAAGGAGCTGCGGCAGCTTCTTCTTCAAGTAATCGTCGTCGGTGAGCACGGCTATGATGCGTTTGCAATCGTTGATCTGCTCCACATAGGGGCGAAAAGAGGGCAGCCGTCGTATGGTCTCCATGTCCTCATGCGTCAACTGTTTAATGCGCACCAGCGCCTGGCTATAGCTGGTGCATAGGGCGTAGGCATTGCCGGCAAAGTAGTGCTCCATGAGGCAATACTTGAAGCCCTGTATGAAACCGTGTATAGAGAAGTCATAGTAAAGGAAGATGTGCGTCAGAAACTTGAACGCTTTGCCGGACAAATGAAACACATACTTCGGCGAGAGCAGCACCTGGTCGAGCAGCTGGAACATAAGTGAACATAAGTAAGCGACGAGAATAGCTGACGGGAAGTCTCCGAACTATACCTCATTAAGCCCCGTAGGTGCAGCCTGGGTCTGAAATACTCGCAGCTTGATCTTACTGCTCACGTGGTACGGCAAGGTGCTGTGCACCGCTGTCATGGCGGTGGCTACTCCTAGCACTAGAACGAAGGGCAGACGTCCGCATTGAGCGCTGAGTATCAGAATGAAGTCTTGAAGCACGCTCGCATTGAAGCATTCGAAATCCGGCAAAATAACAACCAAGGCTCCGTGTTTATCCCCACCAGCATAGTTATTTGCGTACCATGAATGCAGATGCTTCATGGTGCACTGCGTGCGACGCAGACGTTTGCGATCCCGCTCACGTCCCTCATCTTCATCCCCTTCATCTAGATTCACGGGCTCAGACTGCTCGTCTATCAGATTGTATACCATGGACTCCACCGCCGCTTTCAAAGTGGTGCAATCTCGCGATTGGAGCACACAGACCCGAGCCGCCTTTTGAGTATGAAGACGCTGCGTGAGCGTCTCAAATTGCTTCAGATGATCAGGCTGGTTGATACCTGTCAACAGTGCCGCTGTGGGCAGCACTTCACAACTATCCATGCTGTCAGTCCGCTCTCCAGTTACAAAATCCATTAGTTCCTCAAGCGTCCGTGCATTGCTCGCCATTTGCAACTGCACTATGTGACTATGGATCTGGTTCCAGCACTCAGAGTAGGCAGCATAGAATGGTTGGCTGGTGAGCTCCTTGCCCAGCAGACTGGTGGTTGTCTCAGAGCGTTTTCGTTTGCTAGGCGTTCTTTTATTGGCGCGTGTAGCGCCATTCTTGTATACAAAACAGCCCTAAACAAATATAGGAAACATTGTCAATATGCAAATCATACAAGTTAGGAGCTCACCTTCGAGACAGATATGGTTGGATCCATGGCTCTTGCTTAATTGAACTCTGTTCGGTAGTATTGCAAAATATAAAAACAATTGCTTATGTCAGCTTTGTGCCAAATAAAGTTTATTCGCAGTAATATCAACAACAACAACAAAACACTAAGTACAAACAGCTGCAGCGCGCCAGAATTTCGAAACGCGTGAAGTTGGCTGCCACCTAAATAAGTGCTGCCCATCAACTGTATATTATCGACATTCAATTTAACAGAGCGCGCAAACTCAAACCAAATCACGGTTTATGTGGTTTCCGTATATCCCGAAATATTAAGTTGTGGTTTGGGTAAATGGTGATCCAATACAAGACTGCCTGTTATGTCCCTATGAGAATCACACAAATCACTCCACTTTGGAGCCAATTGAAAAGTTAATAAATACATTAGCAAGAAATCGTAGAACAATATAAGCGCAGCCAACAGATAGTCGTTGTCACGAATTTCAGCAAAGCGTCCACCATTGATGATTTGGGCGTGATACATTATAAACTGTAAATGTCAAAATTTCGCTTATTATATATAATCAAATTAAATATTCAAGAGATCATACTGTAACGATGCTGCAAAGGACGAGCGCCCGGTATACAATAAATGAATATGGCACATTTGCGACGATATGAAGCATTAGAAAGTACATGGCTCCAATTATGCAAATAATTCCAAACACAACAAGTACCACAATATCCAAAGTTAAGTCGTGCTGCAAGGGCTGCAATTTATAATATGCGTGATATGGATATTTAAATACTTGCTCACTGGAATGAAGGAGCCCAATAAAATGAATACTACCAGCACAATGGCCCATATAAGGTAACTCATTAGCAAATGATATTTATAGTGACGCACAACTAACGAGGTTACGCCCACGACAATGCATTCAAACTGTTAAATAATTAGATAGACGGAATGTAATTTATAAATTAATTGCAACTTACTATGAGTATGGCAACTATCCAATTAACGGGCGTAAAGAATCGTAAATCTTCGAAGAATATGAATAAAAGTATAAGCAGTAAGCTGAGTACGAAGAATATAATGCCAAGCCAATAATTTTTAGTAAAATACTTATTCGTGTTCTCTCTGGACAGGAAATAATTAATAATGTATGACATTAATAGCAATTGTTTGCAATAATTACTTACAATAAATAAAACATATACCATTGCAACAGAGCGAGCAGTAGAAAACATGCTGTTATCGAATATGTAACGCAAGCAAACCTTTGGCGCTCAAGCTTGTAATAATATGGGCGCGATTGTAGATCGGCCATTACATCGATTGCCAATATATGTATGTATTTGGGTGTGTACGTATAAAATATAGTTTTTAACTGTGAGACTAAATTCGTGTCATGACAGTAAAATAAATGTTCAAATTGATTGCGCCAGCTGATACAATTTTCAGTGCTACCCATAAACGCAGACTTGTTTACAGAATGTCTCTGCGATTAAGCGTTTACCAACACTGGACGCATTTCGCGCATTAAGACTGCTGCTGCATTCCATAAAACATTCGTGAATGTTTATGTAAAATGCTACAGGAGGAACTCGATATCTATGATGATTTGGATCAATTCCAAGAAGCTGAAACGAAAGTAAGTGTATTTCCCCACTGAGTTGAACGAAATTAATTGGATTCGTCACTAGAAATGCAAAGAATTGGAAGCCTGGGAGGCGAAATACGACGCCGCAAAGCTAGAAATTGAAAGTTTGCAAGCGGAGAAAAAAGCACTTGCCAAGAAAATCAGGACAATGGAGGTAAATTTTCAAAATCTACTAGACACGGCAAAAGCAGAAATCAAGCGCAAGGACGCACAAATAACACAGCTGCGCAAGGAGTAAGTAGCTGGGGCGTAACTACAAGCTCAGTAATGCGTGATCTTTTATTGCTTCCTCTAATTATGTTCTGTTCCATAGGAAAGATGATATTTGCTTTAGGCGTAAGCAACCGCCCAAACTGGGGCTGCCCAAGTCTCAGATAACCTCTTCGACCGAATTGCAGCAACACCAGCAGTCGAAACGCTTTAAACGCAATGAAATGGCAGACAGAAAAACTGAAAACGAAATCGCATTCAACAAAAAGAACGACAACTGCGATGAAAAGGCAAAGACAAATGATAATCCAGAGGCGAAGCGATCCCAGGCAGTGCCACCTATTGGCCGGGATGGGAAGGAGAGAGAGAAATTCGAGAGGCAAGACAAACGGGATCGGCCCTTGTGCTCGAATCCCACAGCAAAGGTTCCGGCAATGCAGATGAGCAATACACACGACAGAGATCACGAAAAGCAGCGAGAAAGGCATCGAGATCGAGATAGAGATCGAGATCGCGCACGAGGCAGGAGTCGACGTCGCAGTCGCAGCCGCAGTCGTAGTCGCAGCCGAGAGCATTCTAAGAGCCGAAGTCAAAGACACAATTCTAGAAGCAAGGATCAAAGACGAAAACGTTCACGATCACGATCACAATATCGTTCACGTTCGCATTCGCGCTCGCGTTCCACTAACCAAACAAACAGCAAGAACAGGTAAGCTGAATAATTTCAAATAACAGATTAAATGGCAATATTTACCTGCTTCTAAAGACACCTATCCCACTTAAAGTAAAAGTAACAGCTGCCGAGAAACCGAGAGAGGACCCAATGCCAAGTGCACAGCCCAAAGCAAGAGTAACAAACATGAGACGATGGATGCACTCTTTGGCAGCACGCCCACACAAAAGAGTCCATCAAATGATGGCAACCGCAGCGTAGATAGTCTAAAGGTGATTGAAAATCTATTAGCCAATGCTTCCCCGTCTACACCAATAGAGCTATACACCCCGCAAAGCCAAATTGAAGCCAAAGAAGAGCAACAAACTCACGAGCTAATTGGAAAAGAAAAGCAACTGTTGGTGGAAGACATTAATAATTATTTCGAGAGCAATGTTGAGAGGATAAAGCAAGTAGTCAAACAGGTGCCAAGACAGCATATTCTAGTTAATGAAGCGGACTCAAAACTAATGGAAAGCTCTGCAGAATCTAAAATGAACACGGAGGAATTAGTAAATGACACAGACAAACAACCAAATAAAAATGCGAGAAAATATGCCGAAAAGGAAGCGAAAATCAAAACACCCCGACAAAAAGAATCGATAGCCGGAATCAAGGTTGTAAAAGAAAAGCCAAATAGTGTAAAGATACTGGATGATATACTAGTGAATGATACAGCTATCCATCAGCGCATACCAGGCTTGGATTTTATAGGCAGAGAGCAGGAACGAGAATCCGATACAAAAAATGCCATGGACAACGAGCACATCCCCTGCTTGGACCTTATAACCGGAGAGCAGAAACGAGTTTTCGATACTGATAATGCCATGGACAACGAGCACATTCCCGACATGGACCTAATCAATGGCAAGGAAAAATTAAATGAAATGGATAAAGCACGAGCAAGTAAACTTATTGGATTAGATTTGAAGAAGGATGAAATGATGGAAGTGATTGAAGGAAACGAACACAAACATGCTTCCAGCCTGGGTTCAGGCGATCAGGCAAACTCAACTAATGTGAATGATGCACAGGGCTTAAATTCTGAAGAGGTTGTAGTGGAATATGTGGATACGAAATCTGATGACAGATTAACGGTCTTGGGAATTTCAGTTGAAAATGGAAGTTCGATAGCAGAGGCTACGAATGATCAAGAATTCAATGCGGACTTAGACTCGCCAAAAGGCGAAAGTGTCAAAAAGAAGAAGAAAAAACGTGGAAAGACAAAGTTAGATAATGGACTTCAAAGGACGATAGCAGAAGAGGTGGACACTATAAGTAGAGCTAAACCTATTGCCAATATAGTCTCACAAATTAAACATGACCTGAATGGTGAAGAGGGAGTTTTAAAACATGTGGATACAGAAATGCGTAAAGCCACATCCGATAACGACGCTTCAGGGGAAACAGATTTATCAAAAGAGGAAGAAATGCCGGATCTCGTATTAGGTGTTGAAGAACTGACAAGTGAAGCAACTGACAGTAAAATGACTCCAAAGAGCGGTGATAATCAGAAAACTGAAAATCGTATCATAGCTAAGCTCGATGTGGAGTCAAATGAAGCCGTTAAACAAGACTGTGTAACTGCTGCGCAATTAAAAAGCAATACAAATGAATCCTTAGTGACATTTAAAACAGAAGTTGTTAAAACGAACACAACAAATTGTGACAATACGCTTGAGCAAGCAAAAGCTATCTGTCATCCAGAAAGCCGACAAAATATGGAGACTACAGTAAACGAGTCCACTACGAGCCCGGAGCAAAATCCTTGTCAATTGGCTTACGCGCTGCTGGCCGAGGAGAATTTAAAGACGCCCAAGCGGCCAGCGCGCAGCATGGATAGCATACAAATAATTGAGGACATACGCTTGCCCATCAAGATGGACATTGAGAACATTGCCGTCAAAGTGGATGGCTCGAACAAGGAACAGAACCATACAGAAGACCCCAGCTCAAATATGGGAGAAGCTGCGCCGGCAGCGTTTGAGTCGGAGAATTCGCAGCTGGAGTTTATTGCTGACAATCAGAATGATAGTAAGTCGGGAACGATTGTTACTCTCAACAGGACAATTACACCGAAGCTCACAGTTGGGATGGCCTCTGTCATGTACGCTCAGCCTGACTCTACAAAAATAGACCACATTGAAGACGACGCTACACTCGAGGCGGCGATGAATGAGCTGATACCGGTTAAACCGCTGGAAAGCTATCCGAATTTGTGCCTAGAAACGGACACCATCGAGATGGCATTGAAGCAGCTGCATCAGACGTCGCGTCAAGGTGAGGACCCACCAGACGAAGCGGCTGTCACGTCCACATCGATGAAGGGTGGACAAACGCCCAAGCAGGATATAATTCAAATCCTTATGCAATCCCCAATGCAAGAGACGGCGGAGCACAGCCCGCTAAAACAGAAAAACGGAAAGAAACAGATCGGAGAACGAAAGATTAGAAAACGGAAATCGCCAAGCAGCGAAAATGTAGACAGTCTCACACCAGATCAACTTGCGCAAACGCCGCTGAAGAAACGCACAAAAGATGAAGACAACGAACACAAAATAAATAATGCCGATCCATCTATACCGCCAACGCCACCAGAGGTAGCAACGACAGCGGAGCCCTCGCAGCTGAGTGTGACCATCGATGAAACCTGCTATGCGAGCAGCCTGGACCAGAGTCAGAGTCTCAACAGCAGCGACTCACTCCTGGTGACCAAACGCTGCTCGTTAGGAAATAGCGACTATCAGTTCGAGCGGCTCAACGATGAGGTGGTACTCCGTGTGACACGACGTCGACGACGCCGTCCACCAGCAGTAACAGCTATAATCAATGACACTTAAGACCTATGTATACACATATTGAACTGTTCACATCAGTAAGATATCTGGCTATATGCTTACTTAAGCTATGGATGTAAATACATAAATGCCTATGTAACTACGGAGGAACGTTAAATAATAATTTATACATAGATTATAAAACTTGTGATTTTAGATAATAAATAATATTTTAATTAATGAACTGCTTAACAAAATTATATAAAATTTTATAAAATAATAGTGTTTCAATTAAACAATTTAATAACTACATATATTACATATTGAATATTAGAATTTTTTCTATGCCATTTTCTCATTGAAGTTATTTAAATAAATTATTAAATAAAATCTCTGGTTAGTGATAAAACTAAAATTCGAAATTTAAAATTCGATAAATCGTGCTATCGTATTTGAGTATTTGTATCTACGTACAAGAGTACATTTTGGTCGCAAATTATCGATAGCAAAATGTAAGCAATTGTGCGCTGTTTGATTATTTCAAATGTCTTGACAGCTGATAAAAACAACTGTAAACTAGTTCCTTGGTAAGTTTTGTGCTATAAAATATCGTGTACATTTTGATAATAATTATCAATAACAAGATTAAACACAATCAATATCAATCATTATAAACTCTTGACAGTTGTGCATAAGTAAAAAGTATGCGGTTCATCTCCCTAGAAATGGGTCACAGTTAGGCCTGCTTTTCCTTCTCCTCGCCTAGCAGCAAACGCCGCACTGCACGGAGCTTGAAAATGGGTACCGACAGCAGTGCGCCGATGCAGGCGCCAATCCAATATACGATGATGTGCTCCAGATTGCTGTGGCCCCGGCAGCCCCATTTAAGAGCCGTGGCCAGCACCGGATTAAAGTAGCCGCCGGAGAAGTTAAAGGCTGCAAGCAGGGCATAATTAAAAGCGTAAACTTTTTGAGAGGACATGGCGGCAACTGGAAGCCACATTGCAAGCGGGCGGGCACTTACCTGCCACCACAAGGCTGGTTCCGATGAAGGAGTCAATGTAACTACTAAACTTCGGCTCCTGCACGCTAATGGTCTTAGATGCGAGGCGGCACAGCAACGTGGCCACGCCCTCAATAGCAGCACCCACATAGGGACTGACCTGCAAGTCGGCATTGCACTCCTCGAAGGCGCGCCCCTTGTGCGTTTCGGCAAACTCCAGCCACCAGAAGACCTGCACAATGCGATACACACAGCAGCCGCCCATCAGCTCCGCCCAGGTGCGCAGCGCCATTTCCTTGAAACTGGTGCGTCCCTCCAGCACGTCCTCCATGTGAGTGTACGGGCAGGCGGAGGCGTCGCCCCACACCTTGCCCCACCAGATAGTCAGTAGAAACAGAAAGATGGCATAGGTGGCCACACCAAAATTGTCAGCCACTGCCAGCGAAATCCATGAATCACGTATTTAGTTCCGGCCGCTCTACGCCACTTACCGATGATCAGCTCAAAGCAGCAGGCGCACAACTCCGCCGCGGCGATCGCCTCGTTCATCAGCACCGGCACAAGACCGTCCTGGCTGAGCAGGCGCTGACTCACTCGCCGCGCAATCTGCGCTGCAGTGCAGCAGCCGACCATGAAGCCGGCGCTTATGCCCAGCGATGTCAACGACATGCTGCCCAAACTCTTTCTAAAAACGGGAACTAATATTGCTAATATTATTATTATTAAGTAAATATTACTATTTATTTATTTATCCGTCGGTCCGTCTTGCTGTCTGTTCGTTCCCACTGTCGCACTGACGGCGCCTACTAGGAAAATTGGAAAATGCATTTTCCGGTACGCCAGAAATTATGTTATGTCATTGGGGGCGTGAAATGCTTAAATTCTGATTTTCGCGTGAGTTAATTCTATATTATTATAAAGATTGATATATCAATTTCTTAAGTTCCGTTAAATTTTGAGGTATTCGAAGTCGGTAACACCCGACTTTTTTGAGTTACATTTTTCGATATTTCAAGAAGGCTCCAGTCGAGACTGCTCGACTAGGATATACCCTGAACCCTCTAAGCTGATATTCTACTCATTCTGCACATCTTTTATGCACACGCGCATCCACACACACGTACAATCAGTCGCTCTGCTGACTGCGCAGTAAGCAGCTACTGCGCTTGGATTGCGCTGCAGTGTGGGCAATATTATGAGAATTTATTAGTTGACTATATTCTCTTGTAGAAGGATTTTATTTATGAAAGGACGAAGGGGGCGTGGATTCAAAAATCTGTAAATTACAAAATCTTTGTATTCATCAAATGCATATACACAGTACATGAAGTCTCTAGGTCCAAAACTGATCAATTTAGGCAGAATTAACAAAATCAATTTTTCGATTATTCTCGATAAAAATCTGTCGGATGAGTTATCGACAAAACAAGATCAGCTTGTACTGCGTATGGTATACACGAGTATGCATTCAGCGAGTATGCATTTCAGCTCTCTACCTCTTATAACTTCTGAGATCGACGCACTCATACGGACGGGCGAACGGACAGACGGACAGGGCTATATCGACTCAGCTCATAGTCCTGACCGAGAATATACATATATACTTTATGGGGTCAAAACCAGTATATCCTGATTTCCCATTTTCAATGAGTTCATGGTATAAAAATCCTATTCAAACAATGTTTTTAAAAATAATTGTTAAATTCAAATTAGTTTTCGCTTTTAATACGTTTGAATTTAATAATAATAATAATAAAAAAAAAAACTATTTTAAATGTAAAATTATTATATTTTTAATTTCATATCCAAGTTGGCTTTACTGTATGGATGGATTTTCATTTAAATTATTTTACAAAACCAAATGAATTCGTTTTCTCCAAATTAAACTAAAATTTATATATAAATTTTCAGTGTTTTTATTGTGCCTGTTTTTTAATTTGTTTCGTTTTTTCTGCATATATAAATTTATAGTAAATGTATATAGTGTCATTTTATTTACATGCTGCACTGTGAGAAATTTTGGTAAATATAATTACGCACACATACACAGATTTTAAAAAGTATTTTCGAATTCAGCAGCACGCCAAAATCGTGCTAAAAATATTTGCAGCTTGTTAAACACATCGAACGGAATAACAAATTGTCACGAAACATCAATCTATTGTATTTTGCTTAAAACATTGATTAGCTGAACTGTTATTTAATCTTTTATTCGGCTGTTGATATTTTAAATATAATTCGATTATATTCGCAGCTTCCTTTGCGTCAAAAACTTTTAAATCAGTCACCATACTTTATTATTATTAATAAAAGCTATAACTTTAGCAAACTACATACTATGTAAATTTGTGTGCTGTAACTGACCAAAAGAGACCCGCGCCCACGCGATCGTAGAAGCAACGAGCTATGCGCCGTTGTCGACTCGTACTGAGGAATAATAGTTTTGAACGCGCTGGGTTGTGTCGCTCATCATTGGATCTATTATTAAACAATGCTCAGTGCTCAGTGTATGCTCTTCTTATAAGAATTCCAAGCACGTAGCTAATGTGTGGGCTCTCAAAAGCTCAGCTAAGAGATTGAGTGTGTAACTATTTCAAGCTTCGATTTATTAGCCAACCATGTCTTTCTACTTACTTTTGAGCTTTTCATATATGGTGACAGTTATATTTGGAAATTGAATAGTCGTGTAAAAATATCGATAACTATTTTTAATATTATGTTAACAGCGCCAAATTGAGTGAGGAGTACCAATGTGCGTGAGCTTAACAGCGAGCAATACTGTTTATCTAACAACCACACAACAAGTGAGTTCTTATTTTTATATAAACACAAATATAAAATTTAGCGATTTAATAATATAGAATTTATGTTTTGCAGTGCTGCAACGCTTGTATAGTGCACAATGTCTCAAATTTCCCGTATCATATTGTGTGTTCAAAAGCCGACACTATGCAACAAAACAAAATCCAACGTCAACAACAACAAATGCCGGGAGATCCTCGACTTTGGGAGCTGCCTTTACTGATTGGCGACCCATATATCGGTTACCCTTAATACGACTAGTAGCTGCATTTAATCGCCTTAAAGTCTATCAGGCAATTGTAACTGCGGCTGGAACACCGCTCATTCTTGCTTTGCAACATGCGGGTCACGTCTCGGGTGAGGCGCTAGGGATTTATGCAGCCATTGGCGTCTCCGGTCTGATGACACTCTCGCTGGGCAGCTATGTGACCTCAAACATAATTGGCTTCATCTACATCAACAATCAGGAGGATCAGTTGAAGCTTGCCTACGTAGACTTCTGGGGCCGACGCAAAGAATCGCTCGTCGATATAGAGGATCTGCTGCCAGATTGGGAGCCAAAGAGCAGGCGACGTTTAGGCTTCTATCAGCCCATCTGCCTGCGCACCGATGAGAAGCAGCGCTACAAGCTTCTGCATCGTTTCGGAGTTGTAACAGACCCTCTTCTATTCGAGGGTCTCTTCGGACTATGATGCGAATCGTGTGTAAATGATTATTGTTATTGGCCCGTTTCAACTATAAAAATGTGTATATATAAATAATTTAATAGCTACAAAGCAAAAATTTATACGAATATCGAGTATTGTAAGCCAAATTATTACGGCACTTACTAATGCAAAGATTCATACGTACGTACTAAAAGTACAAATTCAGATGCTACATAAAAACTACAAACAAGTCTAATGCTTCTGCTAGTGCTTTGTACTAAATGAGAAAGTATTCTCTCCAGGATACGCCTCATCCAATTATAGACTCATGCTGTTGTCCGTGGGAGGATGTGCAATTGTCGCTTGGGTTCAGAGCGGATCGACTGCTGCCCAAGGCAATAGCCTCGCCAACCTATGGAGAAACATGTATATGAGTATGGGTCCCATATAGAGAAACATAACATGGGTTAACCCACCGTGTCGGGCAGCTTCTTGTGAAAGGTTTCTGGCAGCAGAAACGATAAAAGACCTGCGGCCATTGAAATTGCCCCGAATAATAGCAAAGGCAACGGCTCGTAGTAGCTTCCCTAAAATGGATAATAGTATTCATTATTTAACCGCAATAAAGTTTTTCGCTAGTAATAGTTGAACACAAACCAACAAGGGCACAAAGGGCGCCAGCATGGCACCGAAACGTGCAAATGTGGACATTACGCCCACTCCCCCGCTGCGTATGACCTGAAAGAGAATGAAAAGAGGAAATGATCAACTGAGCCGTAAATATCTGAATATTGATTATTTCTCACCGTAGGCATCATTTCCGCCGTATACGTGTAAATGACGGCAAACGACGAGGTAATGCCCAGTTTGCCCGTCAGAAAGAGCGTTACGATCAGCCAATTGGCACCTGTGGAGCAAGGAGATATATGTACTTAATTATGAAAATCTGTGAAGCGCATTTGTTATGAGGATAAAACTAAATAGATAAATAGACAAATAAAATATAAAGTATTTGCTTCTTTAGCTTACTGAAATACAGTCAAAACTCTTGAACGAACACTTGAATAATACTTCATTTTCGAATTGGTTTTAAATGATCTAACCCAAATATTTGAAGTTTTGTAAAAGTCAATGAGAATTATTCGCTCATAGAGGTCTCACTCTATAAATTATACATTTTCAAGGGTTTCTTTACGTTTCTGTTTATCGTCACAAACTGTGCAGGCATGTAAGGAGGGTTCAGAATAGTATATATTATTAGTATACATACATACAAATATGTATATAGTCTTATATGATAGTTGATGGCATACCCGTCGTCAGATAACCGCTAGCTGCGCACGTGACGGCGCAGAGCAGCAGCGAGCCGGACAAAGCCAGACGACGTCCGAGTTTACGTAGGCACAACTATTTTGGGTGCGACAATTAAAGAAAGACCGAGAGTATATAAATAGGCATGATTTTTGATGCGAGTATATGTACGGCATATATAGTAGAACACATCGATAACGTACCCATGCCAAGCTATAGCCGGGTATCTCGATCAGGCAGACCAGTGCGAAATTCAAATATTTGTTGCCACTGAGGTTGGTCGAGTTCAGCGAGAGTCCATAGAAGACAATAGCGTTGACAGCCCTAGGGAATGCATATGCGATTAGAGGGATAGCTCGCATCTGATAGGAATAAATATTACCATATGAACAGCAGGATAACGTAGCGTCCAACCAGCTTTCTGGAGCTAAACACCTGCTTCACGGATGGCCAGATCTCGCGTTGCTTTTGCTGCTTCTGCAATCGCTCGTGCTTATCGGAGCTGCTGTCCGTGGCATCAAGCTGCTGCTGCTTCAAGCTGGCCATCAGCTCCAGGGAGAGCTCGCGCTGATTAACGTGCGCCGCCCGTCTTATGATGTTGCCCGCTTTGACGTGCTCGTTGCGCGCCAGCAGCCAGCGCACCGACTCCGGCACCAGCCAGAAGTAAACGACGAAGAACAGCGGCGGCACAGAGAGCGCGTACTGCAGAACCTGCCAATTGGACAACAACCAGGCAGCGAGGCCCAGGAGCGCCTCGCCCACCGCATAGAAGTAGTTGAGCACAATGGAGGTCATTTCGCGTTTGCGTGGCCCCACCATTTCCACGCCTATGATGAAGGCCAGTGGATAGACACCGGATGTGCCCACTGCATTAAGCAAGGCGAAGACCAGGAAGCTGGAGTAGTCCCAGGCCAGGGCCTGGCCAATGCCCGTCAAGCCCATAAAAATGGTGCAGAAGAGAAAGATCAGCTTCCGTCCGAATCTGTAGAGTCAATGTGTCAAATGTGTGAAACGGAAGCGGGATTAACTAATGAGTACCAACGACCCCAACGCCGCTGCCGCTAATCAGCACGACCTCAAATGAGTTGCTCTAAAACAACTGCTACTACAACTACTTTTTAGTAACGGGAAATTCCCTAGCCATGACTCACCGATCGGCTAGATAGCCAAAGAGGGCTGTGCCGATCACCAGCCCGGCGAAGTGGGTGGTGCCGACGAAGGCCAGCTTCCAGGCGTTCTCCTTGCACGTCAGCTGCCAGTCCTGGACAATGGTGTACTCGCCAGTGTCGTAGACGAACTGCTGGCAGCGTTGCGTCTGCTGGGGCAGAAACCATGAGGCGTTGCACGTGTCCCACTGATGGAGGAGGCTAGCATTTGCCGCAAAGCGCACACACGGGTCTCTGGGCGTGAAATGGCCGTGCTTGTCTCTGGTGCCCGGAATGGCCACGTCCAGCCAATCGGTCTGGTAATACGGCTGTTTGTTCACCTCACATTCCTCGATGCGGCAGCGATACTTCGGCGTGCCGGCCGTAAATACATACGACAGACTGTTCGCGGCCGCAAAGAGCACCGGCAGACAGATGAGCAAATAGTTCACTCTCTGGTACCGCCCGAACTCGCCAATTTGGCTGAGTATCTCGTCGAAGTCCATCGCAGCGTCTGATTGTGCCATTCTCAACACGATGTCGATGTTTGTCGATTGTTTGTCGATTTTTCGAAATGGCCAACGTACTTTTCTAGAGTTTAACGTGACTTGTGCGAAAAAGAAATCCAGTTACTTTCGTGATTCGCCGCCGACGGTCACGTGTGCGTTTGTCCCGTATTTCACTCTTTACTCAAATAAATATAGACACAGCGTGAAGTGTTTTTGGCTCTAGTGATGAACTCTGCAATGAGAGAACGTTGAGGAATCTGTATTGTGTACAAAAAATCAAAAACTAACAAATTGCCCTTCGGACGTGCACTGAATTGCAATGCAATGGTGAGAGAAACGGCACCAAGTCAAAACTGGATATTTCTGTAATGTGGTTGGCAACACTATCAAGCACACTGCACTGATTGTCTAATGCCCGTTTACAAAGGGGCAGAGAGAGCTTATAGGTGAGCGTGTGTGTGCGTGTGTGTGCGTGTGTGTGCGGGCTTGATGGGCATCCCCAGCTGAACGTATGACGCCGCCGCACAAGCAAAAGGCTCTCTCTTTTCCCCCTTTCTAGGCTCTATTGCGTATTCGTATTGTTGATACTTGATGTAGTAAATTGATTTTAGTGTTAACTTTGCTAACAGTTAAAGTTCTCATCTGTTAATTATTTTGTTTATATAGACATTATGACATTTTAAATTGCCTATTTGAACTGGATAGTATTATTTATTAATTACTTGCTTTTTTTATCGGAATATCTGGTTTATTTGTTGAAGCTTGCAGTTAGTTAATTAATGGTGTTAATATTGATAACACTAGTTTTACTTGTTATCTGTCAATTCTTTTGTTTAAATAGATATCAAGAGGTTTTAAAATGCATTTATGAATTAAAAATGATTTTTAAAATAATATTTGATCACTGAACAAGCCTTAGATACATACATATGTGTGTATATGTATTAATTTAATGTATGTATATTCGTGAGCGCCTTTCCTTGGCGCCAGAGCAATTACTGGAATATATTCTTGTTTGATTGGGAATCCGGTCTGAGATCTGATCCATCTATGCTTGTTTAAGTTGCATGTTAAGGCGCATGCAATTGTGGCCAATTGATACAAATTGTTGCATGTTGCTACAGTGGCTGTTTGTAACTAACGTTTCACGGCATCTTCAATTGACGTAATCTATACCGGTTGCTGCTTTAGAGATCTTATAACGGAGCACCGCCAATGACTGAATCAATGAATCGATTGATCAACAATGCATTACTCTAGGGGTATCTTATTTTCACTCGTTTAACTTTTCATTATTTACGACGGAATCGTATTATTTGCCAATTCAGCGTATTTATAATGTATGGACTTCATGGGAACTTTAGCGGTTTGTGCTATTAAATGTAGCCTTGATGGATTTCAAAGGTTATCTGCATGCCGAGTCTGCATTAGCCGGTGATAAGCTGATTGCGCTTTGCAAGCCTGTTGGAATTATCTTATCGTCCAGAATACGCTGCACTCGTTTGCCATCAGGAAATTCTCTCCCAATAACGGCAAACAGAAGTTTTCCCTGAAACACTTGTCAGCTGTTTACGCTACCTGTAGCCGTTACTTGTTTAGGGCACAACTGTTGACAATAATGTACCGCACGATGCTACGCTTGGCAATGCACTGAAATGTCTAAAACGATTCACCAACATCGCAGTGCTGTGGACGATAGCTTCGCCTTGCATGTGTATTAGTAAGTTTGTGTACTTCTGAGTGCATATCAAGACGCCGGCAAACTGAAAATCAATAAACATAGCTAAGAACGAGGCGCACCGCCGTTGAACACGTAAAGCGACAGAGAGAGAGATAGAGGGAAAGAGAATGCGAGGGCTTTAATGAACAATGTAAAGAGCGCCAAAGCTACCAAACGCATTTTGTTTCTGAAAGGAGCTTTTGATCTTTTTTTGTTGTTATAAATATGCGCGCGTATCTCGAAAGCTCTCGGTTATTTAAAAGGAGACAAAGTAAATTCAAGCAAATCGATATAGCAAAAGCTCATGGTATAACTGTAAACTTTAATATTATTGGGATAGCCCATATGATTTCACCTAACTAATTCAGATGTACGGATACATTTGTATATACATACATATATGAATATATACATACAATATGTGTGAATACATATTTGCAAAATAGACTATTTAATTTAATGTGCGTATGTTAATCAAATTGATTAAAGTGCGTTCGTCCGAACTAATTGAGATTTAGTTATATCGATATTGAATACGTTCATTTGTTCAATCAATGCAAAAATAATAGTATTTCTTTGTTTACATACATACGTAGTATGTATGTTTTTCCTTGTTCGCGGAGTGTAGAGTATTGGTTTTCCCAGTACCCGAGTAGTTCCGTACTGCTCTCTGATGACAATAAGTATGAGTAATGATCTGAGTATGAGTATTATCTGCACAGAGGGCATTTTCCGTGCAAAGACTCCCCACAGCTGCAGTCGCCGTTCACAAGTGAGCAAGAATTGAATAAAGCTCAACGAAAGTTAACGGACAAAGCTCCTCCACTCTGCAAAAGTTTGCTCGCCCAGTCAGTTTCTTCTAGAACGTCTGCGTGACTGGAGGGCAGAGCCTCGAGTGCACTTGAGAAGGGGCGAGAAAAGAGCACAAAACGGCCATAGAAGGGATAATAAAATGTTTGCCAGCACCGTATCTATCGATATGGCTGTGCAAAGCTCGGCGATAAGCAACGCTTGCTAACGGTGAATCCCAGCCAGTCGGGCAAAACCAAGGACAAGTTTGTCCGAATGCCTGTGTCCGAAAATCAAGTACTCTCTAATGCACCGGTGGAAAGGGTCACCGATGCGAAACCCTTTACAAGCCCTAACCCTAGGACAAGTGCCGTGCCCAAATATTTTGAACAAGGCCAAGAGAGCTCCATTGGAGACACAGGCGGCAAGTCCCCTAATACCCAAAGCCGAGCATCTTCAACAACTCGCTCCTCGACAACAACAACAAGTTCCATTGGCAGCATCGACGACATCGAACATTTGATGACAACCTTAGTCGGACTCATATGTAAAATGACAATCTTTCCGGATGCAACGGTCGCTGATGTCAGGAGCACTATGCGAGCTCGTCAGTCCAATTTGAAATGTGTCTGATCTCTGTGGTAATATGAAGGGGGGAAAATGTGTACGACTCCCGACTTGACTCGATTTTAATCGAAAGGTTTTCAAAGTTTTCAACTCATTTTACTATTGTTGCATGAAATTGTTATTTGTATGAATTTGATTATTAGAATTATCATAATCATTACTCTCACAATTTTCAGAGTTGAAAACGTATAATCGCATTGTCTATCTCACCATATTTCCTGATATTATTCCAATTGCTCAATTCGGAATATCAAGAAATATATATTCTAATATACAGTGGAAGAGAAAAACTTGGAGGACCGGTCAGCAGTTTTGGTGGTCATCTTGAGTCTGTGCCACCAGTACGAAACAATTGCCGCCAGAGATGGAGACTACAATATCGATAATGAGATCATATTTCCACTCTTGCGCATTAGAACGCTGCTCAACAAGCCGAAAATGCTTTTCGTTCATGTAACCAAGGGCTCCAGGGAGCTGGACGCATTCTGGGAAGATATAGATTCAGTTAAGGTAATATAAATGTCTAATCCTCACATTTACCTCAGCCTCATGGTGCGCCCAGCGACATATTAAAGTGTTATTGCACCTATGAGGACTACGTGTCCTATCGGAATTCCACTGGCACGCCCTTTATTCGAGAGCTCTGCACTACGCTAAGGTTCAATCCGAATGTTGATATATTGGGCTCTACCCAGTGAGTCTAATTAGCCTACGGAATTAAGCCTTCCTGAGTGCTAATGGATCTTGTCTCTATCACAGCGATTGCCCAGTACCGTTGACGTCTAGTACAATGACTACCAAATATGCTTTTGGAGATTTTATCTGAACACGTGAAAGATATAATCTGGCTGTCGACAGACCGAACGAGAGAGACAGGGTGGAAATCTACGCGCTGAACTCAATCAAAAAATATTTTTTAGTTTGGAAATTATTTTCTCTTTCTTTTGTGTAAATTGAATTATTGTTATTTATTGAATTATTTAAAGAATTGAAAGTAATGTTAATCATGTCTGTTGCTTCGTATAGGTATTGAGTGCCTACATTGTTGAATAAGTGTTTGATCTGAGATTAATGCTTGTTTGTAATGTAATTGCTGCCGATCGTAATTTATACAAATTGTGCATGTTGCTACAGTGGGTGCTTGTAAGTATGCGTCATTGGGGATTTAACGTTTTGCGGCATCTTCAATTGACTAACTCTACATCAGTAGCTGCTATACGAATCTTAAATCTCTTATCAATTAATGAATGACTCAATCAAGCAATCTATGAATAAAGATTTTTTATTTTTCCTTTACGATCATAGACTTTGTGGAAACCTTGGCGGCTTGTGGCATTAAATATGGCCTGATTAGTTTGAACGGCTCTCTGCATGGCGAATGTGCGTTTGCCAGTTGGGATTCTCTTAGAGGCGGTCAGTCTAAAATTATCTCAATGAAAGTCGTCGCTGCTTACGCCACCTGTAAATGTAAACTGTTTAGGACACAGGTGTTGAAGCCTACCTGTGCATGAATATGATGCTCTCGAGAGAGAAATAGAGATTGAGGGAGAAGGAGGGTATTTCTCTTTTATGAAGAGCAATGCAGCCAATTAAGTTTTTTGTTTGTTTACGGTGCTTTTGAACWTTTTGTTTTTTATTATTATTATTATTTATTACGCGCGCGCGTATCATGGATGTTCTTGGAAATTTGATTTCGTGTTGTTGGAGACAATGACAAGCAATAAACAAAGAGAGCTTCTACATTCATATACATACATACATATGTATGTATGTAGGTCCAGATGTATTTACATACATATGCAGGTTAACGCACGTCTTGAAATTCTTATTTAACAAGTTTGCTATGGGAAGTGTCCAAATAGTCATTTGAAGTATACATATCTAGATATGTGTGTAATTAAATCTTCTACTACCTCATGTATTATGTGATTATTCGATATATTTTCATGTATTGTATATGTATGTATATCAATCAATATAATAAATGTATATACTAAATGTATGTCTACACATATACACATATGTATGTATGCATACATGCATATACATATATCTACGTAGAAGTCCGAATGGCTTAGTGCTTCTTAATATATATATAAACATACATACATATGTACGTTGCAAAAGCTTTCGTGCGCAAGCGTTTATCGCTTAAATAACTTCAACCATGTTGAGGGAGCTTTCGCTTTTATGACAAGCCCAACAACATATAACTTACATATTTGTTCGTATAACCTGGAAACCGGTTGATATGCCGCTTTTAATAAAGTAATTCTTATTGAGGTATTCATATATTTAATTCATTTATTAAGCTTTCTTTTTTTGGGTCAGTGGATAAAAACTGTATGAACAGTTCTATATGTAATTTTGTCTTTTGTATTTTACAGATTTTGGTTTTGGTGAAGTAGGGGTTACCCGTAGCTGTGGAGATTTCCCCAATCTCCCATTGATAACGCACTGCGTATGATTAATAATCGGCCCAGCTGTTAGATGCACACTTTACACCAGTGTTGCCGAAACTTTTTCAGTAAAAGTAGCAAAACCAAGGGCTGAAAGTAGCTAGAAGTAGCCAACTTTCTTCTAAAATAGCTGAAAAAGTAGCAAATAAGAAAACAGTGCTGTTTTTTTTCATAAAAAGTCAACTTTATTAATTTAATTCCGATAATATCTCATCTATGACCACCAACTGGTAATTTTCACCATTGTCGCTTTTATAATTTGCCTTTTTAAGGTAGTTGAGTGGAGCGCTATACTCATAGCAACATTTGCCATGTCGGCGTAATCCATATCTTTTGTAGACATACAATCTTAATGAAACTTTCAAAACGTGATCATATAGTTAAAATGTGTGTACATTCCAAAGCACAAGTCTCTAGTACTTGAAATGCGTTTTTTACAAAATGGCGGCGAAGAGGGNTACCTATTCTTCAGTTGTAGTATTAATTCTACACAAAACTTAGTACATTTAAATCATTTACATTTAAAAAGTATCGAATCCAATTTTGTTATAAGTTCGCTTGTATTTTAGCTAAATGTAATATTTGAAAATAGCCAGATTTGTAGCTAATAGCTGTTTGAAAATTTGTGTAGCAATCGGCCTTAAAAAGTAGCCAGATCTAGCTACAAAATAGCTGATTCGGCAACACTGCTTTACACTCCGCTGCAGTCCACGACGTAAATGAGAGTAAATGAGGTGAATAAAACTCAACAAAACTTATTAAACAGAGCAGCGTTATCGGTGCAAAAGCTCGTTTGGCATTCAGTTTCTCTCAGAACTTCAACGAGCACAGACGTGTCGCGCGCATTGCAGTTAAGAAAAGAAAAGAATAAGAGCCAAGTATAGAGTGAGAGAGTGAGAGGGAGATTGACTGGGAGGCAGTGCGAAACCAGAAGGCTTGTGAGCGAAAGCGAGAAGGCGAAAATGGGCTTGTTTAGCAAAAAGAAGCCCAGCAATGATAGCGCCAGCTCGGATTCCAATAACGACCAGGCCCTGGCGCGGCAGGATCCACGCACTCGTGTGCAGACGAGGAGCGCTGCCAGCGTGACGACCAACACGGCTGTGCAGAACTCCACGATCATTGATAGCAACGCAAATACAGTAACGTACCGGTCGACCACACAGACAGTGACTCACAGCCAGAAAGCGTGTGTGACGGAAATGATAACGCGCCGAACGCCGAGCCAGGCCGAACTGGAGGAGCTGATGGCACAGCTGAGGACGGGCAGCCGGGCGGGTAGCAGCTCGACCTCCACAACGACAAGCAGCAGCAACAAACGCGTTAGTCCAACCAGTCTGAATGGCGTGGCTTTGCGTTCGACCACATCGTTCAAGCCCAACGCGGAGGCCAGGAGATCCAGCACTCTGGTCAAGTCGGAGCAAACATCTGTGTCGCAGAAGAAGGGACGCACTGTCACTCAGCATGTGGAAACCCACCGGGTGGTGCTGAGTCCCAGCAGCAAGACTAGCTGGCCGCCCAAAACTACTGCCTCAACTTCTGGCGCCAGCACATCTGCATACAAGCCGTATGTGTCGCCATTTGCGCTAAAGCCAATCGATTCAACCTATGTATCGCCCTATGCATCAAAGACGACCACTGGAATCGGCTCTGCTTTCTCTAAGCCCTCTGTAGTTACGTCGTCAGCGCTGCCCAAGACTTCGGCTAGCAGTTCTTTTTCGTCCAAGCCCACAACAGCCAGCTTTGTGCTCCCGAAGCCTTCATCTGCGAGCTCCGTGTTGTCCAAGTCTACCTCAAGCAGCTCTGCTCTAGGCACAAAGCTGCCGACCCCAAAGACAACAGTTGGAAAGCCTTTTATAAGCCTTAATCCAACTAAAGCCAAAGCAACTACAAGCACCTTAGATGCACATGGTGAACTGAATCCTACAAAGTCCGGGTATGGGCCAATACCTAAAGTTAAGCCGGTTCCGAAGAAAAAGCTGAAGCCCGCAGAGGTTATTATCTTCAACAATGAGCGTTTCGACAACAGCAATGAGTTCCGTTCAGGAAGCGCCAAGGATGTCGAGTCGTTGGAGAAAACTTTTGGCACACTACTTAAGTGTAAGGTGAAGACTATGACGAATCCAACGGTCAATGACATCAGAAGCACTGTGGAAAAATGTGAGTCCAAATTGATATGTTTTATAATCAAACTACATAAATAACCCGTCCTCAAAAACTCGACTTAAGACTCAAGAGTTGATGCGTTGGATTGACTGAGAGTCTATAGCGGCTTTAGATTCTTTCTAATATCAGTTTTAGCTTAGTCCTTCAATAGGCGGATTTCTTATCTCCTAATATTGATTTACTAATTTATTTGTTTTGTTTTATTTTAAAATTAGGCCAAGTCTTCAAACTTGAATGTCAGCTACTCATACAGTCAATGCGTGAATAAGTTTAAATTTTTTTTTAAACTGGAAAATTTTGAATAAAAGCGAGGGTGCTGCTTAGAAGAATCTCGTCATAGAATTGTGGGTTAGAAACTTTAATCCCTTTTTATGTTAGATAAAAATTGTTAGTCGATAGTTTTTATTATACCCTGAACCCATTATATATTCTTGATCAGGGCGACGAGCTGAGTCGATTTAGCTCTGTCCGTCTGTTCGTCCATCCGTCTGTCCGTTCGTCCGTATGTTTGAGCGCGTCGATCTCAGAAGATATAAGAGCTAGAGACTTGAAATTGTTTTCCTAGGTCCGTGTATAGCACGCGCATATCGAGTTTTGCTTTAAATATCGATAAATTGCCCAGTTATTTTGTTATCGATTAAAAACATTATCGAAAACCAGTAATAAATTTATATCTCCTACAACTTTAAAGCTAGAGTCTCCAAATTTTTAATGTATATTGATATGCATTTTATACAATTTCGGTTTTTGTCAAAATTTACCCTCCACCCTTAACTCACCCCCTCACCCTCACATTTTTAAAAGGCGTATTTAAAATACTAGGGACTTGTGCTTTGGCTAATACATGCATATCTATGTTATATTCATAATCTGAACGTTTCATGATGATAGTTCATCCATAAGAAAAGTTATTAAACAATTAAGTTCYCATAGAAAGCCAACACTGCTTGTTTATGCGTGCGTACGTATGTGTGTGTGCATGTCTGCGAATAATTATTGAAATATCAGTTGCTCGAATGGTTCAGGGGATCTCGTAGTCGGGCGGTCTCGACTAGAGCTTTCTAACTTGTTAAGCGTGATATTGATTGAGCTCCGCTAAAAAATTATAACAATAATTATGAGTATGGTAAATAGGTTATATTAATAATATCATCATGATGATCAGTGTTGATGGTGATGATGGTAATGCTGTCATAATCATCGTTAATATTATCATTCTGGAAATAAGATCATTCATATATGCATATGATGCATATCTGCAATTCCGATTTGCAGTGGAACAGAAAAACTTTGAAGATCGTTCAGCACTGGTGCTGGTCATATTGAGTCACGGTCAGCGATATGAAACGATAGCCGCCAAGGATGGGGACTACAAGCTGGATGATGATATAATTTTTCCGATATTGCGCAATCAGACGTTGGCCAACAAGCCAAAGATCCTATTCGTTCAGGCGTGCAAGGGCTCCAGGGAGTTGGGCAAATTCAAAACAGATGCCATCAAGGTAATGTAAATATTGTATTATGGTCAATCAGTTATTATTACTATTATACTACCATTCACACGCAGCCACATGGTAATCCTAGCGAGATTCTCAAGTGCTACAGTACCTATGAGGGGTACGTCTCCTATCGCTTGGACACCGGCACGCCCTTTATTCAAACACTGTGTGATACATTAAAGGCAAAACCCAATGTGGACATTGAAACTATTATGAAAGATGTCATGAATCTGGTCAAAAGCTATACTCAGTAAGTCTGCTTAACACTTTTTCTCTGCAATAGACTAATCAATGTTGTCATTTCAGGGACAGTCAGGTACCATCAGTAACCAGCACAATGACCACCAAATATGTTTTCGGGGATTACCTTTGAACGGCCTCAGTTAATATTTAAAGATGTTGCGGGCATGGCAAAAGCATATACCAAATCAAGTGAGTCCAATGAGCAGGTCTTCGCTTCTATTCGTTGTATAGTAAATATTGTCTTCATTGCAGGGGTCGGCCAGTATCATCGGTAGCAAGTGGAATGTTATTTGGATTGGAGATGGTTACCGTCAAGTATTGAACATATTCTTGCCTTGTGATCATGTCGAAGATATAGCCAAATGTATTACCTGTAGACGGACCTAGAGCCAATAAGCAAAAGAGACTGTAAACTGACTATAATACGCATTCATCTGTAGGATATTCTGCGAAGAAAAAACCTACAAACAGCTTTAGTAGCAGTTTATTTTATTTTCATACACATGACCTCTTATTGTAACAAGCAATTTACTTAGCTTAAAATTTTCATCAATATACGAGTATACGAAACTTCACCATAAGATCCACAATCCTTCTTTTACTTCCACGCATATTACTGTCAAACTAGAAGAAAGATTGTTGATCTTATAACATCTTTACGCATCCCCTGAATTTGTCGTGCTTATCTTCCGATAGTATGAGAAAACAAGGATCCAGCAATAAATGTTCCAAACTGTAAATAGTATATAAGTAAGTAAAAATGGAAACTCACTTATTAGTGTCTCACTTAGAAGAGTCGTCCGTTTGCGGTACTTACATATTGTAATGGTGCTCGCAACAATTATAATTATGTTGCGGACTTTGAAATGAATCGATAACATTATGATCATTATGACACAGATGCACGAATTGACCAGACATGTGATTAGAAAGAATGTCAGCAGTACCGTTGATTGCTATCTGAACGAATTGATAAAAGTCGAAGGGTGAAACCGGATGTAAACTTACAACAATAGCTCCGATGATCAGCATGATACATCCAATGCAATGACAAATGGCCATACCGCGCTCAACTTGTGTAAATATTTTCCCTGTGAAGGAAATATAAATATATGTACATATATACATATGGGAGAAAGCTGCGATATTACCTCTGCTGAATATTATAATATTCAAATTAATGATCAAATCGACGACAGCAATTAGATAACAGCCCGTCCGCAACTTAAGGAAACAACAAAATTTTCTTAGAAGAACCATTGTTCAGCTGATGGTATAATTAATAATAGTAATAAGAATGTTGCAGACGGACTCTACCGACTGAGGAATAATCAATTAAGTTCAAAATTTAGTACACATGCCTCCAGTAGACCTGGAAATATTTTGATGAATCTATAGGAATTCAATTAACGTAACTGTTAAATATTGGGGCAAGGTTCGAAAACTGCGCAAAGAACAGTGTATTATAGCAAGGCATGCAACGAATTGATTGTTGCTCTATCGTTAGAGGTCAAGGAAAACGAAATTCCTCAGCTCTGATGCTAGGTTCCCTATGCGATTTGATATGTTTAACATATAATTTTCATAGATATTATTCGAAAATGAAATCAAATTTCTGATAAACAGTGTAGAAGTGGGCGTATCGGGAAAATCTTAATACCTAATCAGAAGAGATAGCAGTATATATTCTTCAATAGCGGCAAAATGATTTAAATACATGCGGATGAGCGGACGGGTAGGAGGACTCTTTCAATAATATAAGCAATAATAATAATAATTATAATAATAACACATCAATTTTTGTGGAGTATTAAATTTAATTTGAATTTCTTTAGACATGATTGCTAAGGCAAGGCAATATAATTGACATCCACATTAGAATTTCATCACAACGATAATCTACTGGCAGCCGTCGACTGGTAACTCAGATGAATAGGCTGCCGCCCAGTGCAGCGTAAAACGAATAGGTGACAAACCAGAAATATATGCCAAGCACTGGAAGGAAAGGGTAGAGCACATATATTTAGAATATATATAATTATGTGAGTGCAAGTGTGTATGTGTATGTGTACGTGCAGCTTACCAAACATAATCACATAGATGATTATAACTGGTATCCAGATAAGCAGAATTATGTCCGAAATGATCAGTATGATCATAGCCAATATCTTGACCATAGTCATCAGTATATAGAATAGCATGCATCCCGGACGCAACTAAGACAAATATGATATATAAGTATGTATAGCGCTATACCAGGTATATATTACTAACCTTTATGGCACCAAACAAGAGGCACACAGCGCTAATCAAATGCAAAATCATGAATGCAAGAAATAATTTATGGCACAGATCGGGTGTTCCTGAATAAACGCCGTTCACGAATTAACGAATCCTGTTCATTTAGCTCAAATCAGACAACTCACCTGACTCGCCATATACTGCTATGAGTACTCCGAAGCAAATATCCATTAGTATTTCACTGGCCGCTATAATGAACGTGCCAATGCGCAAATCAACGAAGAAGCAACAATATTGTAAATAGATCATTTTGCTGAAATTCTTCTTCAACTATATCTCCTCACAGAGTTCCTTAATAAACGAATGAATCTGAGACTGATGTACTCCTTGTGTACTGCTACGGTTCGTGAAGCTTCGTAGAGCGGCACCTCTCTGTGGGCCTACGCTTAATTTGGTTTTCGTGTTTTGCTGTAGTTCCTGTACAAATCTTAAATAATTGTGTGTATATAATGTAAGCAAAAACCTATTAAATACTGACACAAACCCAAATATTACTGCATGGACTTAACATCCGATTTGACACTACAAAGAAAGCCTGCCTGATGTGACTGTTTGTTGATTAACATTTGCGAAACTCAGATCCTTCGATTTCTGTTCAACTGCTGATTGTAAATGGGAAAGACGTATATCGTCATATGAGGGGCATTCAGAACTTGTAGGTGGAAATGGTATGAGACATACACAGTTTTTTGGATTGTTTACCATATTTCTGTGTGTATATGTATGTATATATGCATATATGTAGTCCCGTATATATTCCTCAGTTGTAAGCTGATGTGTGTTGCAGCACTTGTACCCATTCAGAGTTCGGGACTCAAATTACTCAGCAGATATAATTCAACTCTTTCTCGTACTGTTTAATAAAAGTGTAATAAATTAATAATTGCAAGGTATCTTCTAATAGGGCGCAATTCCGATTAGAGCTCTCTAACTTCTTTTTGGTTCGTCGGACTTGATGAATCGGCCTCAACAAGGGGATTACCTGTCAAGCTCCCTTTGTCTTCTTGGTTTTATTGAATCTAAAATAGAGTTTTGTGTACAAAATGAGGGCTTGGCCGCTTTAGCTCATAAATTAGTGCTTACTTCCTGTGCACATGGACCTATAATCTATATGGTCAGCTCATTGGGGCATCAACAATTGGTTAACGTCTATTTCGTGATAAATCTAGCTATTTTTGGATTGTTATTGCTTACTGGATTTGATATGGGACATACGACCATTTGCCGTAAAAGGTGATTAGAGTACGCTTCGTTGCTTTACATATCTAAAGGAAAAGATAGGACAAGATAACGATTTATTGGACAACAATTAAAAATTAAATTTGATGAAAGTAGACAATTTATGATTTATAAAACTCATTCAGAGAGAGATTAAAAATTGGAAATTGGTATGCCTACTCACGTTATAGGAAGGCGTGGCAAATTCTATTTCTGTGTCTGACTTCTTACGCAGCTCTATAAATGGAAATATATTGAAGCATTAAGAATTTAATAGCACCATAACTTCCAGTGTATCAATTAGTGTTTAGCTCTAAGCATGCAAAAAATTACAACAAATTCGAGCAACCGCCCAAAAATGCTGAATCTGAAGTTGATGAGCCCATGGCAAGCCCTAGTCTTAGAATGATAGTTAACACATGAATAATTACGATTTCGTATTTAGTTAATAACGCCAGAAATTAAATTTTGTTAATATATATTTTACATTTATGTACACTCATGGTCAAATTAATAGGTGTGAAATTTTTTTTTTTTTTAAATGAGAATAACGTCTATATTTTTTCATGTAACTAAAAAATTTAATTTATATTAAAAAATAGACACATTATAGAATAACAACAACAAAAAACAAGTTTAAAAAATAATAATTTTTAGCATAATTTTGGCATACTTCACAAAAAACTCAAATTTTTGCTGGCCAGGTTAATAGGTGTACCCAGCAAATTAAAAAAAAAAAAGTTAAAAATTCTGAAATATTGTAGAATATTTAGAATATATTTGGATAAGTATGGTTAATACCCTGTATATCCGCTTTTATTCGCAATNCTTAAAAGGATCCCTTTTAGCCAAGGTGACTATCCGGGAATCCTCTCTTACGGTGGTTTTCCTCCGGGCACCCGGCTTCTTTTTATCTTTTTTTGGTTTTAGAGCATTTGTAACGAAGTTTTCCGATCGTCCCATTAGTGAGGCAATGCATTTATAAGTTTTACCCTTTTCACGAAGCTTGAGAACAAGATTTCTCTCTTCAGCACTGCAGTGAACTCCACGACCCATCTAATTTTATTTAAATGTTGCAAATGAAAATTTTGATGCTTCAATCAAATTATATTCAATAAAAATACTACCTTTGCTTACTCAAAAAGTCTTTAATATTTTAATAATTTTTTGTTAAGTTAAACACACCTATTAATGTGTCCAGGTCAATTTTGAGGTAGAGAATGTATAACAGCCAAAACTTTTTAGCGAGTAAATTTTTTTGGAAGATTTACCTATTTCCTTTTCAAATAGTGTGGCCATACCTAACAAAAAAAATTTCGTGCTGATAGATGTTGTCAAACCGTAATTATTCTAAAATATGCTAGAATCTTTGGGTCACACCTATTAATTTGACCATGACTGTATATACGTATGTATGTAACAATTTTAATTAAGTGTCAGCAATATCTGGGCATTGCCAGCCGAGTAGAAGGATTATATTATAGGGTTGATATAAAAAAATAATATGAAAGCATAAAACACAAGTTATTTTATAAACTCTTATATGTAATCTCCAAAAGCGTACTTGGTCCTCAGTGAGTGGGTTACCGAAGGTACTTGAGCATTGCTGCAACGAGAATCAGATTAATGTCATAAAATTGACAAGGATGGAGAGGCAACATTACCAATAATCGAACACGATCCATATTGGTTACAATGTCGACATGCGGAATTTCCTCTAGTGTCTCGCACAGTCGCCTGACGAAGGGCGTGCCATCTTTCCAGCGATAGGAGACAAATCCCTCATAGCTGCTGAAACACTTTAGTACATTACAGGGAAGATCGGAAAAACTTGAAATCTGGGCGAACTTTTGAATGAGTGATAATATATGCTCCAAAGAGAATAATTTAATTACCATTCCTTTAAATCCAGTCACCTCTCTGACGCTCTTTGGCTATCCGTTCAGCGTGTTGTTGCGCGATATGGGATGGATTATATCCGAGTTCAGATTATACGTTCCATCGTAGGCGGCTATTGTTTCGTGTCGCTGTCAATATGACCACCACTCAATATGTTCCACTGAAAATTGGAATGGTGGCAGCAAGGGTAGTTTGGGGGTAGTGTAAGCTACTCTGGGTACTATGCAGAACACGCCTCTTCAAGTTACACTCACGCAATTTCACAGTGCTCCCGATCTGCTTGACCGTTGCATCCTGAATGATCGTCACTCCACACTTGAGCTTCTTGAAGGTCGTTGGCAGCAATTCGACATCCTTGGCGCTTCCCGCTCGGAACTCGTTGTTGTTGTTGAAGTGCTCATGGTTAAAGATGACAACCTCGGCGAACCTAAGTGATTTCTTATTTGTATTTCAGCCCGGCGCACCTATGCAGATGGTCTATTTGAATTGGATCTAGGTAAACTCAATAATGGACACCAAAGTAAACTCGTACCTCCGAGTGCACGGCGTACCTTACATTCGATGTTCGGGAAGGAACTGAAAGGCGTGAAGATATGCAGGGGCATTGATATAGCTGTTTATTGGTACACTTCGAGATACAGAAAGCCCTGATAAGATAGAAGTTCACTGGAAACCAAGTGTGACGTATCCCCCTGTAGGAGTAACTGTGTTGACATAAGTCAACACATCCGGTAGCAATTAGCATGCAACTAGTTAAGCTTTGTCTTGGTCAACTAGAGCTAAGCTTTGTATCAACATTTGGTGTGCAGAATAGCTGACGAGGGATTTTTTTTTTCTTTTTTGGAGACTTCCGTAGCAGATATAGCCAAGGGAAAGGTAAGTAACGAAACTGATAAGCCCAATAGGAAACAGTTTGCCTATCTGAGTTTCAATGTGTCCAAGGTCAGGGTTTTTCGTAAGGTCAACCGAACTTCTTGTTTTATTCGCATGTATCTCTAATTATATGAAGTGCTTGGCTTGGGTCCTTACATTCCCAATCGTTCCAAGGCAGCGTCTATAGTAGGAATTAGTAAATAAAACTTGATACAGATCTTATTGAAGTACAGATAGCAAGTAAGAAAACTGTAGTGGAGACTGCTCGACTAGATACTACTCTATAATAAACGTAAATTGCGCGCTCTGGAGTCGAACCCGAAACTCCTCGATCGAGTGTCGTGCTCCTAGTCACAACTCCACTTCACTTTTCGAAAGTCTACCATCTACCATCTAGCAAATCTAAACTAAACTAACTGTTGAGAATTCTAACACTTCATTCGCAATGTGATTCTAAGAATATGCTAGAATAAGTTTAAATGTGTTTGTGCACACGTATAGGAAAACTGTTGTAGTTGCTGCACGTGCGTTTGCTAATTGGCCAAACATTTTGTTATATTTTAACGACGATAGACTTAATGGAATTGAATGAAACTTTCCGCATATAATCTACGAATTCTATTGAATAATTGAAAAATAAAAAAAAAAAGCCAAATTATTCACAACTAGCTTTACTGGCATCTGACTTGATTCTTAATGTCGCAGTCAGCAGAATGCGTGATTATACGTGCGTGAGAATGCGTGTGTATGCATGTGTGCATAAAAAAGTGCAGAATGAGTAGAATATCATCTTAGAGGGCTCAGGGCATCTGCTAGTCGAGCAGTCTCGACTAGAGCCTTCTTACTTGTTAATTTATAAAAACATAACGGGAAGGTTTATCGACTTTTAAAGGTAAACTCGAAATCCGAGCTATAAATACAGTTATTTAAAATAATTTAAGAGTATAGCTCTTATATCTTCTGAAATCGACGGACAGACGGACAGGGGAAAATCGACTCAGCTCGTCGCCCTGATCAAGAATATATATACTTTGTGGGGTCTGCGATGATTCCTTCTGCCCGTTACATACTTTTTCACAAAACGATTATACCCTGATTTCTCATTTTCAATGGGTTCAGGGTATAAAAAGCATGGTCACCGCTGCCGTCTCCATTTCCCGACTTTTTGTTCCAATTGGTATATATACATATATTTATATAGTTTTTAGTAAAGCGAAAGAGAACGCCATATGCCATATGTCATGTATGTAAAGAAATATGTTAGCAGAAAAGGCCTATATAAGCCTAAACTCTTAAATTATTGTAAAATACCATTCACAAAAATCTGTAGTTAAAACAAAGAGTGAAATAAATTGAAATTGAAATTGAAATTGAAATTTGTATATATTATATATTTCAAATTTTAACTCTCTATTGTTTGAAATTAACTTAAAATATCGACTATCGATAACGATCGATATTTTGAGTTAATTTCTATATAGATTATTGATTATTAAAATATCTGCCTTTGTGTTTTACAAGAGCCCTGTGTTGATACGAACGGAAGGAAAGACGGACATGTATATATGTACTTTATATATAGTATAAATCTGATATACTCCCAATTGTCAGATTGCTCGTAGTATCAGAAATTGGCCAGAAATAGATGGAATAGTTGAAGTTTTCCATTGTTCAGGATACTCTCCAAAAAGTAGTAGAAGAAAATTCTACCTGTACCGTATTTTGTATATAGAAAATTAACGCTAGCTTAAAATGTATTTATCAATGGGTTGGGCTTATATTTATATTATCGCATATGTCATATGTCATGTATGTAAATAAATCTGAGGTTATAACAGCGAGCGAAATAAATTGAAATTGAAAATTGAATCCATGGGTTGGGTTAGTTGTTTACAATGAGAGATATGCATATGCTTATATATAGAGAGAGAGACGGATTGTGTCGAGTCGATTGGTGTAACTTTGCTAAGCTGTTAATGTCTATTAACAACTTGCATCCTTTAAGGATCGGACAGCTCTCTTAATGCATGTTGCAGTCACTTCCTTAAAACAGTACACCCGACTTAGTTTTTTAATGGCTGCAGGGTATATGAAAGATCCACATAACGCCAAGCCGTCGGAAAATCGGTTCCAATGACCGTTCATGGCCTAGCAACGGTAGTTTCGAGCACTACCCATACAGGTGTTATGTCATAAATAACTGTCGTATGTAACGCAATCGAGTTTTTTTTTTCTTAATTGTTTTGGCAAATAACGGCGAAAAAACAACAAATAAAAATAAGGCCGGGAAGTCCAGGAAAGGCAGAGAACGTGCCCGGCTCAACAACAGTCAGCATTACACACAGCACGTGGGGGAGGGGTCGCTGAGGGGCGGTCAGCTACTGTTTGTGCTTGCAATTTCGTTTTCAGTATTGAAATATCGAAAACGAAATTGTGTACAAAACGCGCTAAACAATTCGGGCTCATTTGTATGCAAAGTGAGCAACGGCGATGACGGCGGCAACGCCTCCGTAACGATTGCACTGGGAGGCAATCAGAAATATTATGCAAAGGGCTGCAAGGGGGTCATGCAAACACGATCAAAATCAAAATTGTGGCGGCCTGCTCATATAAAATGGCCCGGCAATGTGACCGATTCGAATCATTCAGGTGTGAGCCAACGACGAGCTGATCCAACAATGAAAACGCAAGTGGCGCTACTTTTAGTCCTGGCGGCCAATGTGGCCATCGTGGTGGCACGGCCGGAGCCGCCTAGGCCCCGATATGGTGCACCGCCGCCGCCGGCACCACAAAAGGAATACGGACCACCACAGCCGGCCCAACCGCTGCCCGTCTATGGACCGCCGGCTGCTTTCTACGGTCCGCCGGCGCCGCCCACAGCCGAGGCGATCGTCACCAAGAACGTATATGTGCATGTCCCGCCCGAGGAGCCGGAGCTGTATCCCGCCGCGTCGCCGATCCAGACTTCGGTGCCCAAGAAGCACTACAAGATCATCTTTATAAAGGCGCCGAACCCGCCCACGCCAGTGCGCCAGGTGCTGCCTCCGCCGGTGCAGGATGAACACAAAACCTTGGTCTATGTGCTGGTCAAGAAGCCCGAGGAGCAGCTGCCAGTCATCCTGCCATCGCCCGCCCCAACGGAGCCCAGCAAACCCGAAGTGTACTTCATCAAGTACAAACAGCAGCCAAAGCCTGCCCCCCAATACGGACCGCCTGCCGTTGCCGCCGTGCCAGCCGATGAGTACGGTGCACCGCCAGCACCGCGCACACTGGAGCAGTTCTAAGGATTCTGAAGACTACGTCCCGTCCAAAGACTCATACACACACACACATATGTAAATACTATTTATATGTAATTGCAACGCTCAAGTTGAGTTTATGATATTAAACGATATAAAATATTTCAAATTCTGATACAGACTTTTAGTTCTGATAATGCTAGTCCTTCATACATGTATATACGTATACTGTAGGGATTGCTCTGCCATATGTTTAGATCTTTGATTAAGAATTGCAAATCGGGATATTATTTTATTGTAAAATTATCAGCATTCTGATTCAACTTAGCAATATCTATGGTCCTATAAAGTAACCATTTACATTTGCTTATGCTCATCAAAAATAAAATTTTTAATCGAAATTCTGAAAGCCCCAAATGTTATTTGCTTTAATAAAAAACTGCCTAAACATATAAGCCCAGATCAATTGATTGAATTGAATTGTAACATCAGATTGAACTGTTCAGATCAGATAAAAAATTGGATTAAATTAGATATCTTATCATTTGGCGTTAATTCCAAATAAAATATTATAAAATATACAACGTATTTACGTGCTACATGCGGATCTATATAGTATCATAATAGGAGTAGACAACCAGGCAAAAGTACAAGCTGAGCACTACAGGGAAAATGAAAAAAGAAAAGAAAAAGTAAAAGCATTTATTCCTCTATGAGAGTATACCGTGAATCACCTGTTTACCTGCTTGAATGATGTCTAATACTATAAAGTCGTAGAAGTCTTCCATCATGATGACATAACCGCATTCCCATATCAAGATGATGACATGTACCATGACAACGAATATGTAAGGCAAGAGGAGGTAGCGTATACCCTGTAGTTTTAAAAACAATAATAAGATAGGCAGTAACATTAAAGGGGATACCCACTAGGAGAGCTCCAATCAGGAGAATTATGCAGGAGATAAGATATATCCCGCTGACGACCAATGCAATGTTGCCCATCAGAGAGTTACCTGGGTGTACGAGTATATCCCAATGAATGATTTGGCTAAGGACAATCGTCCATTCACTTACGATCCAGAAGAAATCGATCTATGCCGCGTAATATCACATCGAATATTGCAATCAGAATGCAGCCGCATTTCAGCTCAACGCAACAGCAACAATTGTCGGTATAAAACATTGCGATAATACGATATATCAGATATAGAATGGAGTTTACATCAAATGTTCTATATTTATATTTGTATTTGCTTATAAAGTGCTGGAGTGCTCGATATTAAATTCAATCATACTTTACCTAGGTCTTCGATCATTCAGTGTTTATTTTTGGCTCTATAAATTGATGCACGTCTAACTGTAAATTGTCTCTATGACCATGACTTACATTACGGCTACGAATAATTATGGTCATTGTTAAGACTCGACATCGAATTCCATTCACGTCTCTTCTTCACATTTTTGAGACTGCATAATTAATGTATTTTTGGATATTACGCCTTTTGGCAGCAGCAAATCAAACGCATTAGTTGTTGTGTAACTCTTTATAAAATATTATACATTTTGAGTAATCTTTCATGTACCATAATATGTATATCTGTGTCGATATCTTTTATAGACTGATTTTAAGGAGTTCTGTATAAGATTGAAGTTGGCGTAAATAGACGAAAATGTGTCAGATTCAGGTGTATACGAGATATTAATTATTAGATAAGAATTTTAAATAATGCCATCATATTTTATTTTCCTCGTGCCATTGTGGATAGTTCTTCTGGTAATTATAAAAATAGATCGAAGTTCCAAATATCAGCATAAATAATCAATATTAGCACATATTTATATTAATTTTCTCTTAAGTGCAAATTAGATATCTTTAATTAATATTTCAATAGCTAGATATTGTTTTCGAAAAATGCAAATACCTACTCCTTTTTCAATAGCAATAAAAAAAGAATAATGCAAATATTAAATTTGATACTTTATTTATTTTTGTTAAGTTTTCATGTTTTTGCGTAAATTTCTCACAACAACTATTGTACAACTACGTTAATGTAATGCTGTAGGATACCCCAAGAACGAGATGTTCGGTGTTTTTTTGGTACAGTTGTACAACATTTATTAGTTAATAGCCTCTCTCTGCGCTTCTCAGTTCCACAAAAACCAAAAGCTACCAAATGGAAATTCTTTGATGATGTCGACGATGTTCATCGTGTAAACCTACAGCTAAATATAGTTAGATATCGTGTATTTCGGGCATTCAAATACAGACAATACATTTATCGAATATTATAATATATACATATATAGGTTTAAATTGTTTTTCTCATTTTTTGGTGTTCATGTCTTTTTAACTCAGTTCTTTGCGCAACTTTCGGTGCTTTTCATGCTTTTGGGATAACATTATTGAATACACAATTGCACAATTGCAGATATTTCATAGGATAAACAGGCAGATGATATACTATAAGTATGATCTGTATAAAGACGCGACAAATATAGGAATGCATTTGAAAAGTGTGTGAGCGCTAAGTAAAGTAAATGTTGAATTTATTTCCTCGTGTTGGAGTATCAGTAAGAGTATCATCAATATCGGTGAGGCATTCGAACTCCGATTGTGTATCATTATCTTTTAAGTTCATCTTCCTATTTGCTTGTATTTGTACTGGTATGGAAAATATATTCTGATGTAACTGTAACGGCTACTAAAAACACGAACAACAAACAAATATTTTTGTATAACTCTGCTAATCAACAAACTGAACTTAGGCCTCCTCGCACTCATCCTCCTCGTTCTGCACGAACAGCCGATGATTGCGTGCCTCCAGTATAGACCATACCACGAGGGGCGTACAGCCCAAGGCCATGCAGGAGCCCATGCAATAGAAACAGATCTCATAGTCCCCGGACAGATCCCTCAGCAGACCTGCCAACGGCGGCACCGATATGGCCCCTATGCTCTGGAACATGCGCACCAAGCCGTAGCTGGAGCTAATACGATCCGTCCCAAAGACATCTGCCAGCAGCACGGGCATCAGCACATACCAGCTGCCCAGGCATAGTCCATATACTGCCGCTGATAGACCCACCAGCACCAGGGTCCTGGCAAAGGGTATTGTCAGAACGGCCAGGCCAGCGCCCAGGATGCTAGAATAGAAATGTGAAACTAACTTAATTTTAAAATTGAATGAGTATGTCAATTAAATAGGATAGATATTATAATAGATACATAGATAGAATATATACAATAAAAAAACATATTCTTCAACATCAGAATCCAATATGTGATTTAGGTATATATGGTTTTACTTTAACCGACTTACCATAGTGTATAGGTCTTCTTACGGTCAAAGAGCTGCAGATCTGATAGCCAGCCTAGGCCCAGGCGTCCACACAGATCCAGCACAGCGCTGATGGCCACCAAATACCCCGCTTCGCTTTTATTGTAGCCTAGAAAAAGAAGTAGAGTCTATTATATCTAAATATTATATGGTAATTGTAAATTACTGAAGCCCTATACTTTCATAGTTGTTGTAGTCTACTACAGATAGACTTTGACTTTGTAAAAATTATTGTATAATCAAAGAACACGTTGCTTAGGCTCGCATATCTTCAATCAAACTCAATCACATACCTATATACAGATACAAATGTATGTTTTCTATTCCTTAATTTATCTATATCGAATTTAAGAGACATTTTTATTATCACCATTACTATCGCAATTGCTTTCTTCATCATTCTATAATTATTTAGCAAAGATTATTCTTGGCTTTAACATACGATTCGGCTCTACTCGTACTACAACCCAGATATGATTTACGAATGAAGTTAGCTTGAAGAGTGATTGACCCACCGATAGATATGACGTGCGCGGGCAGATAGTAGAGCATGTAGGGACAGCCGACAGACATGAGTGTTACGGATAGGCACATCAGTATGAACCGGGGCTCCTGCAGCAGACTGATGTCCAGGTACATCTCAATGCGTGCGCAGCAGCTGCGCTTCAGCTGGCGCTCGTCATCGTCATCCTCGTCRATGGCGTCATTGTCATCGTCGTCGTCGTCAAAGACGGCCGCGGACTCCAGGAGCTGGGAGTCCAGAATGCTGCCATCCGATGGCTGTTGCTTCAGCTCGCTGAGGTTGCTCACGGGCGTGGGTATCTCCATGCTTTTGCTGAGACCGCGGCTGACCACGCTCGGTGGGGAGAGCGGCTTCTCGAGATGGGCATGGATCTTGCTGATGGTCTCGTCATTGGCAAAGACGTTGCGACGTCGCCGACTGCCGCGATTCGAGTCGGTGCCTGAGTGCTTGCGATAGACCCAAGTGGAGTCTGTGCTCAGATCCTCCACGGAGTGCAGTAGGCCGGAACTGCGCACCTTCTTCATGGGCTTTATAAAGGTGGTTTCGCCAATGATGTCCTTCACCTCATCATCGCTCTCCTGCGCCGACTTGTCTTGAGCTGGCGAGCAATGAACAACTGCAGCATGAATTGCTTTGGCCTATGCCCAGTAACTCACCTGGCTGCTTGCTGGCGTAGTAGTTCAGATGATTCTTGCACTCCTCGAGGAACAAATGCTCTATGAACTTGTCGTTGAGCTCATCGGCGCCCACCTCACAGGTGCCCAAGTACGTGGACGTCGTCAGCATGCCCGTAGTGCTGGGATTGATGTCATCACTGTTGGGCTTGCCAGCCGCATCCTGCGCCTGCGCCTGCGCCTGCACCTGTGCCTGCTCGGCATAGTCGCTCAGCGGTCGGTACAGAGTCGCCGAGACACACACGTGCAGCATGCAGCCGCCCAGTATGAGTATCGTGCCATGGAATCCGCAGCTCTCCGCCAGGTGCTTTATCAATATGGGTAGCACGAAGCTGCCCGCCGCCGTGCCCGACACACAGATCCCGTTTGCCAGGGCGCGGTGCTTGTCAAAGTACTGCGAGACAATCACAATGCCTGGGGTCGTGGAGAGACCACCGCCAATTCCTAGAACGTATAGTACATACTAAGTTTCTTAATTACCTCGGTAATTGTAATAGATAATTATTGAAGATTATTCATTAAAGTTACTTGAAAAATACAAAACAAATATGGGAATCGGTTAACTATTTGGATTGGATGGAAGAGTTACTTTGATACCTATCTAAATATGCGTATCTGAATATCTAGTAATAGGATCTAATTATTACATATGTAAAGTACTCCGTTAGATAAGTAATTGTATCAATCGAGTTTAATTACTTAAGTAATTGAATGTATGGTAGCTGGAAATTACCATATCTCAGAAAACTACAGCTTATTTAACTTGAAGTTCCGATTATATTGTCGGGCTGACGATTTTTCTCAAATACATAGCGTTGATATATCTCATATAGGGATGGAGTAAGACTCCGTTCGATATTTTAGACTGTATCTAAGGAGTGGCTTAAATGATATAGGCACAATTACAGTACAAAATGCTTTTTATTTAGTTTTACAGTTCGAAATACTAAAGAATTTCCTAACGAATTAAGTGAATCTAAAGAATTTCCTAACGAATTAAGTGAATCTAAACGTTGGAGTATTCATTAGTCGTTGTAGTCAAGTAGTTGAGATCTCTCTCGCTTATTCTCTTACCTGTAAGAATGCCAAAGGTGAGGAGCAGGTGCAGCAGGCTGGTGGCGAAATAGCTGAGCACCATGCCCAGAGAGCAAAAGATGCCGCCCACAAAGACAACGGAGCGGCAGGAGAAGCGCTGGCAGAGCGCGCTCGAGAGCGGTGCGAGGACGAGGCAGAGCGCTGAGAGGATGGCTGGTATCCAGGAGGCCACAGTGGCCGTGGAGCTGGGAAAGGTTTCCATGATCTCTACATAGAGCACGCCATACGACTTGACCAGTCCGGCGACCCAGAACTGCACGGAGAAGGCGCCGAAGACAATGAACCAGCCGTAGCCACCGTCCGGTGGCTCCGCAGCGCAGCCGCCGCCGCTCTCTGTAGTGCTGGTGGATGAGTCGCGATCCTTGGCCAGCTGCCTGCTGCGACGAGCGGACGGTCGCTCCAGCTCCTTGGCGCGCTTCAGGCATTTGCTGCGAGCCGTACCCGAGGATAACTGCTGCTTGCGGCTGCTGCGCAACTCGTTCGATTTGGCTATCAACGGGCGAGCCGTTATGCTGGACACGGTCAACAGGTTCTCATTGTCGTCCTCTTCCAGCTCGGGGATCTGGTGCTCCAGCAGGCTGGCTTGCAGCGTGCGCGGACAGCAGGGCGCATCCAAGCTGAGCGTGGCAGGTCGCAGCGCTGGCGAGGCGCACGGCGAGGGCGACGGCACGCACAGCGCCTCCATTTGCTTGACGTCCAGCTGGGCCAGGGCCACAGTGGGCAGCGGTGCAGGTGGCGCGGACACAACCGAGAACAGTGATCCGCTTGGGGCCTGGCCGGCAGCGCCGCAGTCAGCATCGCCGTCTCCGCATTGCCCCGCCCTGTCGTTGAGAACGAGCCCTCCCGACTCGTACTGGACTCGACCAGCTGGGTCCGGTTCACTCGCGCAGTACACCGATCCCCGTGAACCCTGCAACACAGACACGGGACTCAAATCAATTTTGTGCAAATCAAGTCCATTTCAAGCAATCAAGAACGTAACTTAGATCCTTAGCTTTATCATACTTAAATTAATACCCTTCCGGCACGCAAACTGCAGCTTGAGTACGGGCAGGCATACGATATCGCCGCATGGCTCTCGAATGTTAGTCCACATATTAGCTTTTCATTTGATTAACTCTCCGATTACCTTGTTTCTCCATAAATAGTATTCGATAGTTTCTGCCAACCATTGCCAAGGCCATACAAAATCAAGATATGGCATTTCTTTAAAAGTATACCGTCCTCCTTCTCTTCGTTCGATACCACTAAAGGTAGAGACTTGAAGCCTCTGCTCAGCTCTGAGCTTAACTGTTAACATATTTCCAGTAGGGGCGTAGCAACTTGAGAAATACTATAAGCTTTAGCTCTAAAGGTGTAGGAGATATAATTCAATAACTAGCTTTCGATAAGGGTTTTGATCGATAATAAAATATCGGGAGTGGTTATCGATATATAAAGAAAAACTTGATATGCGCGTGATATACACGGACCTAGGAAAAAAAATTTCAAAACTCTCTAGCTCTCATATCTTCTGAGATCGACGCGTTCATACATACGGACGGACGGACGGACAGACAGACGGACAGACAGACGGACAGGGCCAAATTGACTCAGCTCGTCGCCCTGATCAAGAATATATATACTTTGTGGGGTCTGCCACGCCTCCTTCTGCCTGTTACATACTTTTAACAAAACCATTATACCCTGATTTCCCATTGAAAATGGGTTCAGGGTATAAAAATATGTTGTAAATATACTTATATAATATACATACGTCCAAACAAGTCGGAATAAATAAAGAATTTCCAAAGAAAATGGAGAAATAATATTCAACTCAATATGTAGGCATCGTCTTAAAATGATATATTGAAATTATATTTTATTTCATTAAAAGGCGTGAAAATAATGAAAAATGTATTTGAAGGCTCATATGCATATCCACTATTTGGTGCACTCAATGGGTGAATGGTCAAGTAATACCAATTTGTCTCTGTACGCCTATTTGTATGACCGCAAGGCCTTGTGTCACAGCTATCTATTATATTAAATCTATCTAGAATCATTGAATAGCTGCTACCGCCAATTGCTAATTGCAGTGTTATAAACTCCACTTTAATTACTACTGGATATATGCTGAATATGATATATATGTAAGTATATAAGTGATGCTTGTCTCGAGCTAGAATGAATTTGACGAACTTAGCTCTGGTTGATTTTCTAGGGCGTTGTTTGGATACCCAATGGACGTAGATCCAAAATGTATATCCATATCGTATCGCCATATATAACATGTATAATTTAATAATAGATTTTGTATGAATACCGACATTCAATTACATTTCAATATTAATATCAATGATAAATAAAGTAAACAATTTTTGTTGTAAGAATAGAATCATTTTTATTAGTTTTTATTAACTCAAAACCCCGTAAATAAAATTGTAATGCGATTACTAATTAAACTTTAATTTGTTTCGTATTTAATGCACGATGACTCAGCACTTAAATGCACGCCATAAATTATCCCTTAATTGGCTTGATCCTTTGGCAAACAAACCCGTCAACAAGAAGCAACCCGCACACACACAGACACGTACAGACACACCTGTCATTGCCCTTGGCTACGTCTTTGCCATACATATTTTATTGTAATTATCCGCAACAACAAATATTTGATATTTGTTGTTGTTGCTGCTGCTGCTGTAAAAGTAAGTTTTTTGTTAAATCGATGCTCGTCTGTTGTTGTTACTCACTAGCTCCGCCCACAACGGCCACAGCCCTCCTTAGATATCGTCATCCGCATGCTGCATGAGCTGGCATGACGTTTAGTTATTTTCCGTTTTCCCATTTGCTTTTCAGGTTTTCCCCACAGTTTTCCCCAATTCCCCGTTGCCAGTTGCAAGTTTTCAGGGTCAAATGCACGTTAGGGGGAAGTCGTGGGAGTCTCTCTGGCAAACATCTGATAAGAAATAAGCCCAACTAATTCAACAAACTAAAATTGGCGACTCTGGGTCTCAGTTGAGGAATTTGTCTATAAAATGTTTTCTCTTCCATGTTGCATATAGAAAATATTTTTGATAGCACAATATTTTTATAGTCATCTTTTAGGCAAAAATTATAATATGAATTATTATCTTATGGAGAGCTCTATATATACAATTAAACATACAAACTTAATTGATTACAGACAGGCAAAACAATAACAATTATTATTATATGTATGTACATAATACATACAATAATAATATTATTATATGTGCATGAATATAATATATGAACTGGTCGCTTTTTCGGCGAGTACATATGTAAACTGGTTTTGATGTACTCCAACAATTATTTTCGATAAGAGCTTTAAAGCTCACGACTTGTAGATGAAATATTTATGTGTGTACATATATTTGTGCTTTTCTCTCTCGACAGCAATTTGTTTTTGCATTTATTTAGTTGTTCTCTAAATTGCCAGGGATATTTATCAAAATTGGGGAATTTCCGTTTTCCTCTAATATAACCAACAATTACTTTGTTTCCAATATCATGTTTCAATTTGAAAATTTAATTTATTCCTATTGTAAGTGCAGCACATGTGATTGTCAATAAATCAATAAAATTGGCTTTCTAATGTCAGACACGTCTCAGACTGAAATGCATATTTAGCGCCGGATCACAACATGTGACTCCGTGGCGCAACGGTAGCGCGTCTGACTCCAGATCAGAAGGTTGCGTGTTCAAATCACGTCGGGGTCAACTTAGTAAAAACTTTTTATTTCATTTTTAAAATTATTTCAAAAGTTTTAGACTGTTTCTAGCCGGTTTCTTCAGTTTTTTTGCCTTAAACCTAAACCTTTAAAATGTGAACAGATATTCCATATTCTATTCACTTTTTGATCAGAAGTCTTGCTTGAGTCTAACTTCATATAGAAATAACAATATGGCACAACTGCACTCCATAATGAGTAACTAAATTAAATGCTATTAAAAGATTTAGTAGAGTCTTTTAGCAATCATTCGCATAGCTAAGCAGCTGTCGCCTACGTTTAATGAAGTCAGATGCTCACGCCTAATGCGTTGCATAAGCAATCGGTTTGGGACGCATTGAGTATACGACAGCGCGCTCAAATGAAGGCATCAAATGTGGTTTTGCTTTGCTTCTAATTGAAGTCGACTGCAAGGCGCGTGCCCCGTATCGGGTGACTCATCGCAGTGGCATGTCAATGGGCGTCAACGCCCCCCAATGGTGGCATGCCACATGTTGATGGTGCTAGAGAATATGCCCTGCATGCTGGAAAACATGCAATCGATGGCGAGCTGCCTGCTAATGAGCCAAGCCCTGCAGGCAACGTGTGGCAACATTGTGTGGTAGCATCCACGCCCTTTGACCTTGCCAGATGTCAAAGCTTTATCCCCTTTGTTGTACGCTGAGCCTGAGCTGTCGCCTGTCAGCAGGAATTTGGCTTAAATTGCCAGGAAGCGCACAGTGCATGGGCATGGCCAGTGGGAGTGATAGTGGGACGAGTAGGCGTGGTTGTGGGAGTGGACGAGGGCCTGGCGCCACGCGCTCGGGTTCCGTTCAAGTGGCAATGTTGTGTTACATTTTCAATTTCGCAACAACTCAAGGACCTGACGCAATCTAATGAAATGAAAGAATCTTGGGCTAGGATGGACGGGCGGCAGGTTGGGTGCTTGAGTGGCTCGGTGGTTGGGTCGTTGAGCAGTTGGTTGCCTTGTCAATTAGCGCGTGTAAAGAGATTTGCTAGGGCTTAACTTGTTGCAAGTCGAGGGCTTCTACAGAATTGTCATTGATATGGATTGAAATCTGTACAAAATAGGTGGTCTCAATATAAACCAAGGATTTGAGTGAAAAGTATCGTGGGAAATGTTGCTTATTATTTGACCTACATTTCAGGATAAGGCAAGTTTAAAAAAAATACAATTTATATTTCTTTAGTCTTAAACAATCACCACATTATTAGTTTCACTTACTTGAAAATAGTATTGAGATTTCCATGTATATATTCTGTATAAGTTTCATACAGACATCATGAAAATCAAGTATTGTATGATAGTTCTAGTCGAGACTGCTCGACTAGCTTCCCTGAACCCGATATCCAGATTATAAAGAAAATCGAACTTTAATAAAACTGCCTGCAGAATAATAAATATGTGTATAGATGATGAATACAATGCCGAAGTTTTTTTCGGATATTATTTTTCTTCAACTTTAGGTACAACTTATCCACATAACAAATTTTTATAATGTAGGCAAATTTAAATTAATAATTTATTATTTAAGTTTTCAGAATTCCTAGGGACTTCAACCAGCCAGATAAACTTGACTAGTTGATAGAAAATGTAGGAACGTGACTATGTAGTTGGTAGTAGGTGGTAAAGGCTGAGGAGAAATTTGAAATCTCAAAATTATATTTCAAGATCCAGATCGGTAAAGAACTGACACAGTAACACTAACACTAAATTAATCTTATGAATGAGTACGTACCAACGGTTTTATTTGATAACAACGAGCGATACGATTTTGATTTATCCACTAGCTAAAAAAAGCTTAAAAAAAAACTCTATATCTACATATATTAAACCGTTTTGAAAATGTTTTTCAACTGAGATCATTTTATAATTTGCTGCCTCGCATTGCCATTGCTATTGCTTCTTCCCCTAGTTCGAGATTGCAAAAAGGATTTTAGAACGTTCCCTTTACTTTTGTTCACTGTTTTGTGGTCTGTTCTTTTTGACACTTTCGGCACCCGCTGCGCCCCCGCCTCCTGCCCATACATTTCATTGTCGGACATGTGTTGGATCCGGCTTTGACCCACTATCCAGCCCTTCGCATTGGCTATCCATTGTTTACGCGCACTCGAGTGATTCGATGGGCGGGGCCAGGCGCATGCTCACCAAATTCTACAATGCCTGCCAAGCGACCTCAAACTACCTCAATGTGTTTGCGCTTGGCCCGAGCTCACTGCACGGCCTCTGACCACATAAGTTAGGCGCGTTTCTTGACCTCAGGTGCCACTAGGTGTGTGACGATATTCCAATTGGAATGTAAACACGTTTCGACTGTGAGCTAATGCTCAGTAAAGAGCCCAGGGCTCGCTCACCTGTAAATGCCAGTCGCGCTGCAGGGATGACATGCTCGTCCTTTGCGGTATGTGAGGCGCCTTCGCTGGTGTATCTCTTGTTGCTCGCGTTGTTGTTGTTGTTGCTTGGGGCGTTGTTGTTGTGCACTCAAATGCATTGGTTTAGCTCGATAGGGCCACACGCGGACAGCACAAAGGAGCACAGCTACAGCTGCAGCTGCAGCAAAAGAAGAAGCAGAAGCAGGAGCAACGGCAACGGCGACGGCGACGGCGACGGCAGCGGCACGGCCAAAGCCAAGGGTTGGCCCAATTTTCGGAATGATAACGGCTAGCGCACACGGCGTATGCGTGATGGACGAGGTGTGCTGGCTTATGCTTTGGCACTGGATTCCTGTACAACGACTAGTTGTTTATTTAGCTATTATCAATATCAGTGTTTCGTTTGATTTGTATTGCATTTAAGGCTTTGCAGGAACTTGCGTCAGTTGAAGGTTTATTCCGCTTAAAGACGCATTTGCGTCATTTTGTCGTGTGCTAATGCCAGTTGCCAGTTGCCAGTTGCCAGTTGCTGTTCCTGTTTCCGCTGCTGCACAGACACACGAACACGCGCAAGCACACTAAAGTACTCACACTCACACACACACACACTGTCAGTGTCAGTGTCTCTTGGTGGACTCAACAAACTAGAGTTTCTGCTACAAATCGATAAAAAACATTTCTATTGTTGCACATCACCCGATCGCCCGGAATGCACTCGGTAATTGAGTTACAGTGAAGTGCATCAGTCTGTTGCCAGGAATTCAAGTAAAATTTGGGCTGCACGCTTTTCGAACTAATTTCATTTATTGTTCCGTCTGATCCTTGACTAGGTATATCTGTGACAACTTTTCTGCGATTCTCTGTTCCTTTTCTATTGGGTTCGATGTGCTCGGCTCACTGCTCGGCGTAATACTGTTTCGCCGTGCGTCCTCTCGATGCCTTTGAATCGATTCCACTCAAAGCAGGGCACGCGCCGAACTCAACTCCAACACGGACTGTGGACTGCGGTCTGTGGTCTGTGGTGAGCTTGAGGTGAATTACGTGGCAGTACGAGTGACGAGTGAGCGGGATAGCAGTGCCCGGGCTGCGTGCGAGTGCGACAGAGTTGATTCGTTGTATTTCCATTTTGTTTTGCTCAGCATTTTTGGCCGCTTAGGTCAGGAACTCCCGGAAAGCTGAAAGGCCAGAATACTCGAAGTGGGCATTTCGGCTTTCGCTCTGCGCTTCTCCTTGAGGAGCTTTAGGAACATGTTCAACACAAATAGCCACATTGCAATGGCTGGAAGCATGATATTATATGGGATGCTGCCTTGGGTACATTAGGTTTAAAACTTTACATACATATCATCATGGATGTCATAATGCTCCAGACCATTTCCAGAACATGTAGGAACACTACGTTGAAGTTCATAATGGTGAGGGGCAAACAGGTCATCCAGGGTATCAGAAAATTATTTTTCATCTGCAAAGAGCACTCACATTTCGAATTACATTCCATTTAGCAGAGACCGATATTACTTGCCTTACCAGCTTAGCGCCAATTATTAAAAGAATGCAGGAGACGACGTGCACGAGCGTAAAACTAAATAGTATAATGTTGGCATACTCCGCCTTATGGGCAATGTAAGACCTTAACTCAACATAAATGCAAAATGTGCATACCGTTAGACATATAATTCCAAAAGATATATTAATATATTTCAAATTTTGTAGGCTTGTCATATTTTTCAACGAAACCAAAAGGGGCACTAAGACTACTAGTAAAAAGTGCCCCAACCTTATAGATAGAATACTGAAGTGGCAAGGGCTACCACCCATTGCACCCACTGAAAAACTCTAACAATGTTATTTGGCTACTACAGTAAATTCATAAAAAATATGGTAATGCTAACGCATTGTCTATAGAGACATAACACCCATAATAGATCATTAGATAGATATTCTTTTCTATAGAGACTATCTCTTCTGTTTTCTGTCCTTAAAAACAAGAACTGAACTTATGATTTACGTAAAATATATAGAAATTTAAGATTTGGTGATTTTCGTGTTTACAGTTATGACGATCGAAATGTCTGACTTATCAAAGCTGTTCCAAATGTGAGTCGAGATGATGCGTGACTTGAGTATATTCCAGGGACCGTAACAATTATAGTTTTTATAGCAAAAATTAAAAGCCCAAGCATATAATAAATTATATATGTATATATACATGTACATATTTACATACGTATTATACATCAAATGAAAGGTATTAATGCGTAGATCATATATATACAAAAATATATGATCTAGCTCCTTTAGTTCAAKAGATATTTCAATTCAATTTTTATTTTCAATTTTTATATAAAAATTGTTCTGTAATAATTAATTTTTATTTTTATCATAAAAATCAATTTTAATAATTGAA